GGCCTTCCCCTACCAGGGCAGGGAGGTGGGGATCAGGATAGGTGTCGTTGAGATGGGTGACAACTGAGTGGGGACCTGGAAGACGAGCAGGTGCAGGTCCTGGAGACACGGCCTCGCTGGCCAGCTGCAGGAGGACCCCGAGGAGAGATCTTGCCTCCTCCAAGGAGACCTCCGTGAGTGAGGTGGGGACAGGGCGGGGGGCATGGAGCTCACACAGATCCCCCTCCCAAGGTTGGGGTGGTGGGGGGCACAGCTGGGTTCTGACTCAGGTGTTCTCAGGCGCCCCCTGGCGTATGGTCTAGGGGTGGGCAGTGCAGGGGGGAAGGGGGCGCGCAGGAGTGTGGAGGAGGGTGACCCCTGGAACTTGGTGACAGGTGGGAGGAAGGGCAGAGCGCCACCTTGTGGCCGGGGCACCCTGGGCTGGGCTCAGATTCCAGCCAGGCTGGCAGTCGGCTCCCCTTGCCCATTCTGAGTCTCAGCTCCCCTGAGGATCTACCTGGTGGAAGGAAGGAGGCTTGGCTGGGGCGAGAACCACCCGTCCTTCCCAAACGCACTGAAACCTCACCCAGCAACCCCCTGCCCAAATGCCAACGGTTCCCGCCATTCCTAAGCCTGAGTCACCACTGCCTGTGGTCCCTGTGACCCCACGGCCGGCCCCTTGGGGACCCACTTCCCGCCTTTGTCTTATTGAGTTCCTTTTCCAAGGTTTTCCGTTCCCAGCAGGGCCTGGCTGTCTTCCTGGCCCAGCCCCTCCCTCCGGCGGGGGGGGGGGGTGTCTCCTTCCCAGCCTGTCATTTGCAAGGGGCGATCCCCTCCCCCTCCTCCTGCCGCCCCCCCCAAGACAGGGGCAGCTGGGAAGAACCCTGGATGGTGGAGGGCAGGGGATGGCGGGCTTCCGCAAGCAGGTCCCTCCACCCCGCCCTGCACACACACCGACTCGCAGCGAGGGACACAGCCCACAGCCTTCCAGGAGCACCCCTCCCCCGGCAGGCCCAGCGGCCCCCACTTGATGTTGTTCCTGTCGCCTGCTCCCAGGGAGTGGCTTGGGGCCAGCGTGGTGGACAGTGGACAGTGGGCGAGCAGTGACTGCCATCAGCTGTGGGGCCCAGGTCTCCCAGCTGCACCCTTCTATGCTGTGTGGCCTCAGCCAGGTGGCACATCCTCTCTGCTGGAGATGCTGCTGTGGGCGTGGGGTGGGTTGTCAGCCTCTGAGTTCTTCAGTGCCCTGGGCTGCTTCCCCACTGGGGCACGGACAGAACCCCCTGGGACAACCCCTGCTTCCAGGGAAGCTGAGGGTCTCACCTTGTCTGGTGGAGTAAAGGAGCCCAGAGAGGGGAAGGGACCAGCCTGGGGCTGCACAGCAGACAGGACCAGGTGTTAAGCACCTACTGTGTGCTGCCCACTGGGTCCACGATGCGGGTGGCCATGCCCCGGCCACTGACAGTGGGGGTGAAGTACTGAGGCTTGAAGACTGCAGGGGGGATGGGGGGGTCAGGAACAAGGCCGATGATCTCAGGAGCAAGGAACTGACGGACAGGTGGCAGGTGTGGGGGCCCTGCACCCCCAAAGCTAGGGTCCCTTCTGCCCATTCCTAGACAGCCCTGAGCCAGGCTGGGCCGGCGTGGGGGCCGCCACGGCAGCTGGACGAGGCAGCTGTAAGCAGAGCTGGTAACCGGACCTCGTTGTTGCAGGGGCAGCCCCGGAAGGCAGGCGGCCACTCGATCCCCCCGAGGGACAGCAGCCCTGGAGCCCCAATCCTGGGGCGGTGGGGGGTACCTGCTGTGGAACTGGAGCCCGGATCCTGCCTCCCCCCCCACCTCGTGGTCATGGCCCTGAGCTGGGCAGGGGAATGCAGGTCCCTCACCCTAGAACAGAGAGGCTCAGGCAGGGGACACCCCGTGACAGGTCCCACCCCTAGGCTATGGCTCCAAAGCCCCCCCTCCTCCTCCACACCCCCACCCTGCTGCAGTGTCCCCCCCAATTCTCTCCCTATTTGTGACCCAGGAACTTGGTCCCTGCTCTTCCCCCCTCCCCACCCTGGGGAGTGTTGTGCATACAGTTGGCGCCCAACCATTGCTCCTGGAACAAGTGAACAAATAATATCGAAGTGGGATAAGGCAGGAGTGAAGCAGAACTGGATAGGAGATACAGCTGGGGGTGGTTGCACAGAACTGGGTCAGTAACTGAAGGTAATCCAGGAAGGCTTCCTGGAGGGGCAGCCAGGCTCAGGCTCGACAGGCGAGCTGCTGCACTGCGGTGGCCAGGATGTCAGTGGTGGTGGCCACAGGGGTTCCCCCTCCCCTAATGCTGAAGACAGAACCCAGCTGGAGCAAAGACAAAACCCGCGTGAGAGAGGCTGGGTGCAGACTTGCGTTTGGTGTGGGGCAGGGTACTCCGGAGCCTTGGCGGGTGTGAGCCGGGGTGCCCAGCGGAGGAGTTACCTGGCAGTGGGCGTGAGAAGCGAAGCGGGAGGGACAGGGTGGAGTAGGGGTGCTGGGGGGGCTCCAGTGCCAACAGGCTTGGTCTCTGGAAGCAAAGACGACTCGAGGTGAACCTGTTAGGGCACAGGGGCCGCGGGGCAGGGGGAGGCTGGGGGAAGGCATCGTGCGAGGCGGTGGCGGGTCAGACCCTCTAGCACCAACCCGGACTATAACAGCAACAGCAATGACAGCAGTAACAGTAAGGTGGCAAAGGATTGGTTTACTTAGCAGAAGGCACAATAGCAAGGAGACACAGAGAGAGATCGTCCGTTTGCTAGCTCACTCCCCAGATGACCATAATGGCTAACATGGGGCCAGGTCGGAGCCAGGAGCCCCATCCCATACAAGTTCAGGGGTCCAAACAGTGTGTGAGCAGGGGGCTAGATGAGAAGTGGAGCAGCCAGGACTTGAACCGGTGTCCGTATAGGATGCTGGCGCTGCACGAGCTGCACTCCCACCCACCACGTGTATTGCTGTTGTCCCCCCGGGGTGGGGGTCAGGTATGGGACCCTCTGGCCACTGTCACCCGTCGCTCTGAGGACGCCAAGGGTTCAGGGAGCAGAGCTGGGCTCTGGGGGAGGAATGCGGGAGGACAGACGGGACCCGCAGGGAACGGCATGGTCTGTGGGGACCTGAAGCTGAGAAGCAGCTGAGGGCGTTAAGTAATAATAGAAGCCCCTCCATGCAAGGGCCCTGGGGCGCGAACCCAGCCTGGTGCGGGAGGGGCTGGGGGTTCCGCTGTGCCCTCTGGTGTCCACAGCGGGGGGGGACGGACCCAGGTCAGCCGCGGGGACCCCCAGGTCTGACCTGACAAGGCTTCAGCAAAAGTTTTGATGCTTCTAGAGCTTCCAAGTTGATCCTGAAATATATACAGAGGTGTGTGGGCCACCGCACCCCCACTTCTACAGCCGGGCGGGTTCTGACAGGGGGACAGGGCTGGAGTCATCCCAGGGCAGCACCCAGGGGTGGAGCTGGCCTTGGCCATGGGAACCAGAGGCCCAAGGACCCAGGCCGGGGGCGGGGGGAGCACTCTGGGCTGGGGGCTGCAGGGCCAGCACTCCTCCGAGTCCCTGGCAATGCCCCCTGCTCCTCCCAGGGCCTCCAACACAGGCATGCACACACACACGGGTGCCCCCCTGCTCCCTGCCACTTGACGCCTGCGGCCAGGTGCCCAGCAGCCCCGGGCTGGCAGGTGGTGGGGCCGCTGGTGGGCAGCCGGGCGCCGAGCGGCTGCTGGCCCTGGCGCCTCCAGTTTCATGGTGAGAACCAGATGGCCTGGCAGGTGTGGGGGTGGGGCGAGGGAAGAGGTGTGGGGACGAGGTAAACTGAGGCCCAGACGTCCCAAGATGCTCTCTAGGGTTCCATTTGTCTCTGCTCTGCGGCTCCCTGGCGCGAGGCAGGGCAGGTGCGTGTGGGGTTAGGCAGCTTGGCCACTGCGTACCCCAATTCTGAGCATGTTTAAGGGAGACGGTCAGGAAGATTTGGGGGATCTGAGAGCAGGGGGACCCCTTCCAGGCCACCCTCGGGGTTCCCGGATGCCAGCACCACGGTGGGGGGAGGGTGACCGGCCACTGGGAAGAGAGGGCACTGCAGAAGCCCTGAGGTCAGAGGTCAGAGGCCAGAGCTGGATATGGGGGGACAGGGAGGTGGAGGAGGAGCCAGGGAAGGAAGTGGGGCCGTGGCAGCACACACACACACACACACACACACACACACGGGGTCTCATGAGTCACAGATCCCGGGCCACGCTCCCGAGCTTTCCTGTTTACTCTGGGCACGGCTGGACGGGAGCAAGTCCCCACCCCCCCAGTCACACGAGAACCTGCTGGGGGACCTGGCCTGGACCCCTCCTCCCCTTTCTGGCAGGGGCCCCGGGGTGGGGGTGGGGAGGTGGCTGGGTGTCCTTTGAGGAGTGGGGTGTCCCCACTTCACACACCCAGAGAGCCCCCTTGACCCGTCCCAGGGGGGCAGGCAGGCTGGGCTCAGCAGGTGCCTTGCCCCAACACACACACACACACACACCGGGTCCCCGAGGTTTGGGGCCAGCTCTATGAAATCCTGCAGGTCCCTGGGGTTGCTAAAGTCAGAGAGACAGAGAGGAAGATCTTCCATCCGATGAGTCACTCCCCAAGTGAGCGCGACAGCCGGTGCTGTGCTGATCCGAAGCCAGGAGCCAGGAGCTTCTTTCCGGGTCTCCCACGCGGGTGCAGGGTCCCAAGGCTTTGGGCCGTCCTCCACTGCTTGCCCAGGCCACAGGCAGGGGGAGCTGGGTGGGAAGTGGGGCAGCCGTGACATGAACCAGTGCCCATATGGGATCCTGGCGTGTGCAAAGCAAGGACTCCAGTCACTAGGCTACTGCACCAGGCCCAAGAGGGGTTTTTGATGAAGTCAAGTACAAGATTGCCCGATTCGTGTGTGGTCATAAAGATGACCATGATGATGGCTCATTCTTGGGGTGACCCCTGGTCAAAGCTCCCTCCCTACTCACTGCCCTGTCCCTCCCCTCGCTGGCAGGTGTCGCCTCCCGCCCCCCGGCCCTCGCCATGCGGACCCCGCGAGCATCCCCTCCCGGCCTGGTCCTGCTGCTCTTGCTGCTGGGAGGCGGCCGCGGCCTGTTTCCGGAAGAGCCACCGCCGCTCAGCGTGGCCCCCAGGGACTGTGAGTTTGAGGGGTGCGTGGGAAAGCGGGGGGCACAGAGGGGACGGTCTAGATTTCCAGGGGAGCTGCTGCCCACCCCACCCCGCCCGTCCCCCAGGCTGGGAGGGAAAAGTTCTGGGCACATCATGCACGCCCCCCCACCCCGGGCGTGTCCCCCCCGCCCCCCGCGCCCTGGCTCATGCCGCCTGCACCCCGGCCCTGGGCAGACTTGAACCACTACCCAGTGTTCGTGGGCAGCGGGCCGGGGCGGCCGGGCCCTGTGGAGGACCCCGAGGACCTCAACATCCAGCGGGTGCTGCGTGTCAACAGGACGCTCTTCATTGGGGACAGGTGGGGAGCACGCCGGGAGCAACCATGGGGGGAGGGGGGGTGGGGGCAGCAAGGCCGGGGTGGCCAGACACTGGGGGACAGGGGTCCCTGATGGACCAAGGACCCCACACTGGGTGACAGAGGGCGTGGGGTGACTGAGGATAGGGGTGCAGTGGGCAGCGGGGTCAGGGTGGTCAGACACTGGGGGACAGGGTCCCTGATGGACCAAGGACCCTGCACTGGGTGACAGAGGGCGTGGGGTGACTGGGGATGGGGGATGCAGTGGGTGGCGGGGTCAGGGTGGCCAGACACTGGGGGACGGGGGTTCCCGATGGACTCAGGCCCCCCCCCAGGGTCGCTAACTCCTCCGCTCTGGCAGGGACAACCTCTACCGGGTGGAGCTGGAGCCCCCGAGCGCCACGGAGCTGCGGTACCAGCGGGTGAGGGCGCGGGGAGGCGGGCGGGTGGGTGGGTGGCAGAGCTGGGGACCCCGCAGCAACCTGGGATCCCGCGGGCCCCGCACCTGCCCACCCAGGTCCAAGGGCCCCCTCACCTGCCCACCCAGGTCCACGGGCCCCTCACCTGCCCACCCAGGTCCAAGGGCCCCCTCACCTGCCCACCCAGGTCCAAGGGCCCCCTCACCTTGCCCACCCAGGTCCACGGGCCCCTCACCTGCCCACCCAGGTCCACGGGCCCCTCACCCACCCACCCAGGTCCACGGGCCCCTCACCCGCCCTCGCTGTCCGCAGAAGCTGACCTGGCGCTCCAACCCCGGCGACATCAACGTGTGTCGCATGAAGGGCAAGCAGGAGGTGAGTGGGCCCCGGCCCCGCCCACCCGGCAGCCCCGCCCACCTCGGCCTGGCCCCGCCCACCCAGCGGCCCCCTCCCCCTCCCCAGGGCGAGTGTCGGAACTTCGTGAAGGTGCTGCTGCCCCGGGACGAGTCCACGCTCTTCGTGTGCGGCTCCAACGCCTTCAACCCGGTGTGCGCCAACTACAGCGTGAGTCCGCGGCCTCCTCCTGCAGGAAGCCCTCGCGGAGACTCCCCCGTGCCCAGCTCGGCCGTGCCCAGCTCTGCCCAGCTCTGCCCTGTCCAGCTGTGCCCAGCTCAGCCCTGTCCAGCTGTGCCCAGCTGAGCCCTGTCCAGCTGTGCCCTGTCCAGCTGTGCCCAGCCCTGCCCTGTCCAGCTGTGCCCAGCTCGGCCGTGTCTGGCTTTGCCCAGAGCGGCCTAGATCACACAAGAATTGGGGGGTGGGGGGAATTGCTAGGGGCAGCCAGGACTCCCCTGGACCCTAGGGCTTGGGGGAAAGTGGGGCCCACGGACACGGTGGGGGGGGTTGTGTCCCTCACTCAGGCCTCACTGTCCCCACAGATGGACACGCTGAAGCCCATCGGGGACAACATCAGTGGCATGGCCCGCTGCCCCTACGACCCCAAACACGCCAACGTGGCCCTCTTCTCCGGTGAGCGCGGCTGGCCCTGGGCTCCGCGGGGTGGCCGTCTCTGCCCGGCTGGGGCACATGGGGTCCCTGCTGGGCATCGCGGCCCGCTGCCACCCCACCCCTCTCCCCATCCAGACAGGATGCTCTTCACGGCCACCGTGACCGACTTCCTGGCCATCGACGCGGTCATCTACCGCAGCCTTGGCGACAGGCCCACGCTGCGCACGGTCAAGCACGATTCCAAATGGTTCAAGGGTGAGCCCCCCACCACCCAGCCCAGGCGCCCCCTTCCCCCCTGAAAGTCACCGCCCGGGGCAGCAGGGGCCACACCCTGACCCCCGTACCCCCACAGAGCCCTATTTCGTTCACGCCGTCGAGTGGGGCAGCCACGTCTATTTCTTTTTCCGTGAGATCGCCATGGAGTTCAGTTACCTGGAGAAGGTGAGAGCCAGCTCCCCGCTGGGCAGGGGGACAGCTCCGGGGTCCCACCGGGTGCCCCTCCAGCCTCCCCTGGGGCTTGGGAGGGTTCCCCCGATCTGCAACGGGCGGGGGGGGGGCTGGTCCTGAGCTGGAGGCCGGCAGCACCATCGCACTGCGCCAGGCCCGTCCCCGCACTCGGCCGCCTTCATCCACCGCCTGCTTCCCCCACGCACTCAGGCCTGCTCCACAGCTGGGCCACATCTGCTGCAACCCATGGCCCACCCTGCCATTGCACCATGGGTGTCCACAGCCCACCCGCCTGTGCACCCCACCCACCCACCCACTCATCACCCATCCATCCATCTACCCACCCACCCACCCATCCATCCATCCATCCACCCACCCACCCACCCATCCACCCACCCATCCATCCATCCACCCACCCATCCACCCACCCATCCATCCATCCATCCATCCATCCACCCACCCACCCACCCATCCATCCACCCACCCACCCACCCACCCACCCACCCACCCATCCATCCATCCATCCATCCATCCATCCATCCATCCATCCACCCACCCACCCACCCATCCACCCATCCATCCATCCACCCACCCACCCATCCACCCATCCATCCATCCATCCATCCATCCATCCATCCACCCACCCACCCATCCATCCATCCATCCACCCACTCTCCCATCCATCCACCCACCCATCCATCCACCCATTCATCCATCCATCCATCCATCCATCCACCCACCCACCCACCCATCCACCCATCCATCCATCCATCCATCCACCCACCCATCCATCCACCCATCCATCCATCCACCCACCCATCCATCCACCCATCCATCCATCCACCCATCCATCCATCCATCCATCCACCCACCCACCCATCCACCCACCCATCCAATTGTCACTTGGGTCACTCCCTTCCCCCTCTCACCGTGCCTCAGTTTCCCCACAGGACAACACAGTCTCCGACAGAGCCTGGTCTGGGGACCCTTGAGGAGATGCTTCTACCAGGGCGGGAATGGGGAATGCTGGGCAGCTGGGCAGGGGCACCCGGGTGGTAGGCACCTCCCAGCGGGCAGGGTATAAGAGAGGGGAGACTCTGGGGCGGGGGAGAGCTCAGGCCCGGCTGTGGCCCTCACCCAGGTGGTGGTGTCACGCGTGGCCCGCGTGTGCAAGAACGACGTGGGCGGCTCGCCACGCGTGCTGGAGAAGCAGTGGACGTCGTTCCTGAAGGCGCGTCTCAACTGCTCCGTGCCCGGGGACTCACACTTCTACTTCAACGTGCTCCAGGCCGTCACGGGCGTCGTGAGCCTGGGGGGGCGGCCGGTGGTCCTGGGCGTCTTCTCCACGCCGGGCAACAGGTCAGCCACCCGGCCCAGGCTGACCCCACGCTCCCTTCCCCCCGGGGAGGCCTGGCCCCCCCACTCCAGACCCACCGGGCTCTCGCCCCCCGACACCCGCAGCATCCCCGGCTCGGCCGTCTGCGCCTTCGACATGACACAGGTGGCCGCCGTGTTCGAGGGCCGCTTCCGCGAGCAGAAATCCCCCGAGTCCATCTGGACCCCGGTGCCTGAGGACCAGGTGCCGCGGCCCCGGTGAGAGCACCCAGGGCCGAGCAGGGGGCAGCGGGGGGGAGGCAGTTGTGTGTGGGAGGAGTTAGATTTGCAGATTGGAAAAAAAAAATCAACTGTACCCATGCCGCGGATGGGGAAAAGCGAGGCCGGTAACTCGGTTCCCCCTGGCCGGTCTGTCCTTCCAGGCCCGGGTGCTGCGCCGCTCCTGGCTCACAGTACAACGCCTCCAGCGCCCTACCCGACGAGATCCTTAGTTTTGTCAAGACGCACCCGCTGATGGATGAGGCGGTGCCCTCGCTGGGCCACGCGCCCTGGATCGTGCGCACGCTCTTGCGGTCCGTGTCCGTGCGCGGGGCTGCGGGGGAGCAGGGGCGGGGGAGGCGGGCAGGGTCCTGCGTGGGGTGGACGGCCTGCTGCTGGGCCTCGCGCCCCGGACCGTGCGCGGGGCTGTGAGGGGCACAGGGAGGACCAGGCCCTGCTGGGTTGGGGGGGGGGGCTACGTGTGACCCCGACCCCGCGGCCTGCAGGCACCAGCTGACGCGCGTGGCCGTGGACGTGGGCGCCGGCCCCTGGGGTAACCAGACGGTGGTCTTCCTGGGCTCGGAGGCCGGCACGGTGCTCAAGTTCCTGGTGAGACCCAACGCCAGCGCCTCGGGGCCCGCGGGGCCCAGCGTCTTCCTGGAGGAGTTCGAGACCTACCGGCCCGACAGGTGGGGGCCGGGTGGCGGGACCAGGCCCCTGGGAGGCGGGGACGCGCACAGCTCTGCAGGTGGGGTCCCACGACGCCCCCTTGTTGCCCCGCGCCCCCGCAGGTGCAGCCGAGCCGGCGCCGGGGAGTCGGGGCAGCGGCTGCTGAGCCTGGAGCTGGACGCCGTGTCCGGTGGCCTGCTGGCCGCCTTCCCCCGCTGCGTGGTCCGGGTGCCCGTGGCCCGCTGCCAGCAGCACTCGGGGTGCATGAAGTGAGTCAGCCCAGCAACCCCGAGGAGAAAAGCGGGGTGCCTGCGGGGATGGGGCAACGGAGGAGGAGGCATGGGGTCTGTACAAGCGCTGGGCACCAGGGCACGGAGGGAAAGAGAGAGGAAGAAAGAGAGGAAGGAGAGAGGGGGAAAAAAAGAAGAGAGAGAGAGAGGAGTGGGGTTCGGGGAGCGTGTCCCCCGTTTGGACACGGCGCACACACCCCCTCTGGTGGCGGCCGCAGGAAGGACGAATGCCAGGTGTCCAGTCCCACCCACAGGGCTGGGGGACCCCGGGGGGGCCCCATCTGTCCTCCGTGAAACGGGGGTGCCGTGGGTGCCCCCACCCACAAGGCTGAGGGACCCCAAGGAGCCCCATCTGTCCTCCGTCAAACGGAGGTGCCGTGGGTGCCCCCACCCACAGGGCTGGGCGACCCGGGGAGCCCTAGCTGGCCTCCCTGTGAAACGGAGGTGCCGTGGGTGCCCCCCACCCCTTGCACCGCACCCTTGGGTGGGGGTGACGGGCGAAGCTCATGGAGACACCCCAACTTCCCCATGCCCCAGGAACTGCATTGGCAGCCAGGACCCCTACTGTGGCTGGGCCCCCGACGGCTCCTGCGTCTTCCTCAGCCCGGGCACCAGGTACCCGGGAGAAGGGGCAGGAGGCAGAGGGGCAGGAGGAGGAGGAGGAGGGCAGCGTCCTGCGTCCATCCGTCCATCCGTCCGTCCGCGCGCCTGCCGCGCTCACCCCACCTCCCCTCCCGCTCCCCAGGGCCCCCTTTGAGCAGGACGTGACCGGTGCCAGTACCGCAACCTTGGGGGACTGCACAGGTGAGGCCCAGGGGGACCACCCCCTTCCCAGCCTGGTGCCCTGCTTGGCCTGGGGGCGGCGAGGGGTGTGCGGGTGCTGGGGTAGGGGGAGTTTGGGGACCCGACGCGCGCGCGTTAACGCCGCGCTCCCGCCAGGGCTGCTGCGCGCCAGCCTGTCGGAGGAGCGCGCGGGGCTGGTGTCCGTGAACCTGCTGGTGACCTCGTCGGTGGCGGCCTTCGTGGTGGGCGCCGTGGTGTCGGGCTTCAGCGTGGGCTGGTTCGTGGGCCTCCGCGAGCGGCGGGAGCTGGCGCGCCGCAAGGACAAGGAGGCCATCCTGGCGCACGGTGCGGGCGAGGCGGTGCTGAGCGTGAGCCGCCTGGGCGAGCGCAGGGCGGGCGGCCCTGGAGGTCGAGGAGGAGGAGGAGGAGGAGGAGGCGTGGGCGGCGCCGGGGGACCCCCCGAGGCCCTGCTGGCGCCCCTCATGCAGAACGGCTGGGCCAAGGCCACGCTGCTGCAGGATCTGGACTCGGGGTTGCTGCCCACGCCCGAGCAGACGCCGCTGCCCCAGAAGCGCCTGCCCCCGACCCCGCACCCGGCCCCGCACGCCCTGGCCGCGCGCGCCTGGGAGCACGGTCACGCACTGCTGTCCGCCTCGTCTTCCCTGTTGCTGCTCGGCCCGACCCGGGCATCCCACGAGCAGCCCCCCGTGCCCGGGCCTGGCCGAGCTGTCCACGGCGACTTCCCCTTGACCCCCCACGCCAGCCCGGACCGCCGGAGGGTCGTGTCAGCGCCCACGGGCCCTTCGGACGTCATCCCGGCTGCTTCGGCCGATAGCCTGGCCAGGCCCTGGAGCCCCTCGGCCACGGGCAGCCTCCGCAGAGCCGGCCCGCACGGCCCGCCCGCCGCTGCCCTGCGCCGCACGCACACGTTCAACAGCGGCGAGGGCCGGAACGGGGAGCGACCCCGCGGCCGCCACGCGCGCCCCGCCACGGACTTGGCCCACCTGCTGCCCTACGGGGCGGCGGACAGGACTGCGCCCCCGGTGCCCTAGGAGACCCTAGGAGACCGTGCCGTCCACGCGAAGCAGGAGCGCCACAGGCGGCGTTGGGAGCCGCCAGGCCCCGGAGGGTGCGGTGGGGTGCGGTGGGAGTTGGAGAGACAGCCCCCCCACACTCCCAGGTCCTGCCTGCGTCCGTGGGGGGACCCACCCTCCGCCGCCCGGAAGCACAAGTTGCAACCCCACTCCCGCCTCCTGCTCCTCCCCTCCCTCCGGAGTTGGTGGGGCGGTGGGGGGGCGACCGCAGGACGCTGGCACGGTTCGGGGGAGGGGGCGGGCAGGGTTTGCTAAAGGATTTGAGGTTCACCTGCGCGGAAGGTTCTGGATTTTTTTTTTTTTTTTGCATTTTTTTTTCCCCTTTCTTTCGCAGTTTTCTAACCAATTGCACAACTCCCATTCTCCGGGTGGCGGCCCGGGGTGGGGGTAGGGGGCCTCTGCGGAGCAAGGGGGTGTAGGGGGGCTCCCCGCCTCCGGCCCCAGGCGCCATCCACCCCTCGTGATGGTGGTGGTGGTGTGTGTGTGTGTGTGTGTGTGTGTGTGTGTGTGTGTATGCGTGTGCATGCCGTGTTCGTGTGCAAGGGGCGGGGAGGGGGCCTGTGTGCACCTGTCCGGGAGTGTGGCTTTTGCTGGGCGCGTGTGATGAGTGTCTTGTACGACGGTGGTGACCCCCAGTGGCCTGGGCCAGGGGCAGAGGGGAGAGAACCCCCCTCTACACACACACTGCTGAATGCCACGGAGGCTCAATGTGTCTGAAGGGCTTTCAGGGGGGCCTGGGAGGGGGGGCGACAGAGGCGGGTGGGGCCCCCTGTAAATACGGCCCCAGGGTGGGCAGAACGTCCGTCCGTCCGGCGCCACCTGTTCCCTTGTGACCATGCCCCGCGGACTTCCGGCTGTCCATGCATGCCACGTGGCCAGTGGAGCCCTGCCCCTCTCCCCATCAATAAAACTGTTTACAACCGCCGGCCCCAGGGCTCTTGCGGCTGCTGTTTCCTGGAGGGCAATAGGGGGTGGGGACACCCCCACTCCACCTCACCCACGGCTGCTGGCCTGGGGGGCTTGGACGTGGACATAGGGAGAGGTTTGGTCTTCAGTGGTCAGGGCAGGCGTCACCTTGCCAGCCTGCCTCCTTCCAGTCCACGCTGGCTACGCTCCTGCCGTGGGCAGGACAGCAAGCTACACAGACCCAGCCCTCTTGTTACGGGCCCCCCGCCCCCGATTGCATGTCTTTTTATTATTTTATTTCGATAATCATTGCATGTAGTTGATTAGGGCACAAAGGGTCAAAGGCTACAGGAAAAGTGGGTAAGACCATTGCTCCCACATTCTCTCTCTTTTTCTGTTTCTGGGGTAAGGGGGGAGATAAAGGGAGAAGCCCCACCCAGCCTCCCAGCCCTGCCAGGGTCCCCCGACGTGGCACGTGCTCCGAGGGCACTGTTGGAGAGGTTTGGACAGTGGATGCCTGTTTTCGTTACTGGGTCACGCAGCACCAGCAGCTGGTATTGTGTGGCAACACAGGTTATGCTGCAGCCTGTGGTGCCGGCATCCCCCAAGGGTGCTGGTTTGAGTCCCAGCTGCTGCTCCACTTCTTAGGCTGAGGGCTTAGGAAAAGCCACTTGAAGATGATGGCACCCGTGTGGGAGACCCAGGGGAAGCTCCCGGTGTAGCCGTGGAGGGTGTGAGCAAAGAAGCAATGAACCGGCTGATGGAAGATTCCGTTTCTCTTCTACCTTCCAAATAAATAAAACTCTGCCTTTCAAATGAACAAATCTTAAGAAAAAAAAAAAAAAAGACATAGATACAGGATGTTACACTTGCAATAGTTAGACCTCAATGTGGTGCGGCCAAAGCTGTTCTCATAGGGAATTGCGTAGCCGCACGTGCACTCATTGGACGATAAGATTGATTCCAATCAGGAGCGGGCAGCAGAGAGCCGGGGAGCCTGAGTGGACAGTGGCGTCCTGGCCCGGGGGGCAGTTGAAGCACAGCTGGGATTTCAGGATTAGATGTGAGACCGTCATGTCCGTTTTCAAGTTAGGGGGTCTTTTCGCTGCTCACAGCACCTGTGACGCTCCGCCCCGCCAGGCACCTGGCAGCCCTGACTCTGGAGTCCCAGGTTTGCAGGGAGGCTAGTGGGGGTGTGCGGGGGGCAAGGGGCTTGGTCTGAAAGACCAAGTTCACTTCTCACCCCCTCAAGAAAAAAGAAGAGCAGAGAAAGGATGACACGGGGTTTAGAAACAGCGCCTGGGAGGGGCTGGGCGGGAAGACGTTGCCAGGAAGTGATTTTGCAATCTGGATTTCTCCTCTTCCCGCCACAGACCCGGGTTCAGAGAGGGCGGGGACTTCCCTGGGGTCAGGGGGCCGGCCCGGGACTGGGTAGGTATAAGGGTACCTTTCAGGAGCCCAGGGAGCCTAGAAGAGAAAAAGAAGGGCCACCATGTCCCCCTGGAACGGAGAAGCAAACCAGAGGTGGGTTCCCAAACCCTGTCCCCCCAGTCGCAACCCTTCCTCCCTCCTTCCCTAGGCCTGTCCATTCTGGGCGGAGCTGGGCCTGCGTTAGGACATTCTACAGCACGCTGACACCACCGTGTGCCCCTGGGGTGGCAGCAGGCTAGGGGACAGGCTGGCTGTCCCGTGCATGTGTGTGCACCTGCAGAGAAGGGGCCCTGGCCAGGTTCTCCTGCTGGCTGGGATGCCACCTGCCCAGCGTGGGCTGCTGGACCTGTCTGCCACAGGACACTCGGCCACACAACCTGTTCAAACTCTCTCTTCGAACCTGGAGCCCTGACTGGCGAGGTGGGGGTTACGTGGGAGGGCTGGATGGACACCAGGGACAAAGGGCAGACTGGGCTTTGTGGGACAAGGAGTGAGTGTGTATGGGGGAGGATGCTGGAACCAGGACCTTGTGGGTGAATAGGAGTTCGCCAGCTGTAATACAAAGGGCTATAACCTGGGCAGGCTGGACTGGGGTTACACGGGCTTGTGGGGTTTCCACTGGCAAGTGCCCCCTGTTGCCCCCCGCAGCCCCGAGGTCCTGCAACCCCGCCTTCCTCTGCTATTGCTGCTGCTGCTGCTATCCGGGACTGCGATCCTGGGGTTCAGCTGGAGCCCCGCTGGCTGTGTGGTGTGGCACTCACAGAATGGCACCTCGGTCTCCTGCCACTCGGCCCCACACTTCCCCAGCCCCCTGCCGGCCGACATCAGCCACCTGTCCGTGGAGTTCTCCAACTTGACAGAGCTGCCGGCAGACGCCCTCCAAGGCGCCGCCTGGCTGCGTGAGCTGCACCTGTCCAGCAATGGGCTTCGGGAGCTGCCAGCCACCTTGCTGCAGCCTGTGGCCCGGCTGCAGGTACTGGACCTGACCCGCAACGCCCTCCGTGAGCTGCCCCCGCAGCTCTTCCAGGGCGCGGCTGCCCTGCGCACCCTGGTGCTGAAGCAGAACAAGCTACAGGTCCTGGAGGCCGCGTGGCTGCACGGGCTGTGGGCACTGCGCTTCCTAGATCTGTCCGGGAACGGCCTGCGCACGCTGCCCCCGGGGCTGCTGAGCAACCTCCGCAACCTGCAGGTCCTGGACCTGTCCGACAACCAGCTGGGGAGCCTGTCCCCTCACCTGCTAAGGGGTCTGGTGCGGCTCGAATGGTTATACCTCCAGGGCAATCAGCTACGGGAGCTGCATGGGGACCTGCTGGCCTCCCAGGGCCGGCTCAGCCACCTGTTCCTCAGCGACAACAGGCTGGCCGTGGTGGGAGCTGGCGCCTTCCACGCCCTGCGGCGCCTCGACATGCTGGACCTGTCCGGTAACCTGCTGGCCAGCGTGCCCCGGGGGCTCTGGGACAGTTTGGGGCTGCCCCACAGGGAGCTGAAAGAAGGGGTGGACCTCTCTGGGAACCCCTGGCTGTGTGACCATAAGCTGGGAGATCTCCTGAGCTGGCTGCTCCGGAACCAAGACAAGATGTTCTTCCTGAACAACACACGCTGTGCCCGGCCCAAGGTCTGGGCAGGCAGGTCGCTCCTGGAAGCAGCCAGGGAGGCCGAGGGCTGGGCCGGCGAGAAGGGAAGCAACCTCCCCTCGCCTCTCCCCGCTTAGCAAATAGCCCAGCCTCCTTGGGGAGGGGGAACCCAGGCCTTCCCACTCCCAACACCTCTGGCATCCCTCAGCCATCTTGTCCTACCCTCCGGCCAAGCCCTGGCCACCCTGTCTTCCCTGGAGTACTGGGCCTGGGTCCAATTCTTCTCTGATTAGAAGTTGCCTGGGCCTGCATGGTAGCCTAGTGGCTCAAGTCCCTGCCTGCAAGCACCAGGATCCCATATGGGCACCAGTTCTAATCCCGGCAGCCCTGCTTCCCCTCCAGCTCCCTACCTGTGACCTAGGAAAGCAGTGGAGGACGGCCCAAAACCTTGGGACCCTGTACCCCCAGGGAGACCCAGCAGAAGCTCCTGGCTCCTGGCTTCAGATCAGCTCAGCTCCAGCTATTGCAGCCACTTGGGGAGTAGACCAACGGATGGAAAATTTTCCCGTCTCTCCTCCTCTCTGTATGTCTGACTTTGCGATAAAAATGAAATAAATATTTTTTTTAATTGCATAACTGAATCAATGAGGCCACACACCCCCCGCCCCGGGAAAAGCCCTTGGGTTTCCCTAGGGAACTTTCTGGAAATTCAGGAGGAAAAAAGGGGACACACACAGCATCGGGAGCCCAGGTGACCTGTGTGAGCTATGCTGTCCCTCCCGCCGTCCTGGACCTAACTGGAAATCAAATCAGTGGCCGTTGCCCGGGTGTCGGGTGTCCTGTTGCTGGGATTTCTGCCAGCGCCCTGGGGATCGGCCGCGTCTCTCCACCCTTGCCTGCAGGTGTCCCCTAACTGCCCGCACGGGGCAAGCCAGAAGGGGGCTGAGGGGCAGGCAGAGCTTGAAGCGTTCTCTCCTTTGCACTGGGACCCCGGGACGGCCTGCCAGGTGCAGCGTGGGGGGTGTGGGGGCAGCAGAGTGGGGAAAGGCTGGGGGTTTCGAGTCACGCCCACTTTTTCCAAACCCAGGGAAGAGGCGAGGGCAGGAGGGAGAGGGGTGTCCCAGGCATGGATGGGGAGATGCCAGGCGGAGCGTGGGGTCAGGTGTGAAGGATTCTTCACTCGTGGGGGGGTCCCTGGGCGGGGTCGTGGGGGGGGTAAACGGGTTGAGCCCTAGTTTGCCCATCTGTGAAATGGGGACTTGAGGGATAGGACCAACCCTGTAGATAAGAAAAAAAGAAGAAATTAATTAATTAGTTAGTTAATTAATTAATTAAAGGTTCCGGCACAGTAGCCTAGTGGCTAAAGTCCTCACCTTGCACGTGCCAGGATCCCATATGGGCACTGGTTCTAATCCCAGCAGCCCCGCTTCCCATCCAGCTCCCTGCTCGTGCCCTGGGAAAGCATTGGAGGACGGCCCAAAGCCTTGGGACCCTGCACCTGCGCATGGGAGACACAGAAGAGGCCTCTGGCTCCTGATTTTGGATCAGCGCAGCTCCAGCCTTTGTGACCACTTGGAAAGTGAATAATCAGACCAAAGATCTTCCCTTTTTCTCCTCTCTGTCTGTCTGCCTTTCCAATTAAAAAAAAAGAATCTCTTTAAATGCTTTGGGCTCCTTCACCTCCCACTGGGGAGACCTGGAGGAACTGCCTGGTTCGAGCCCAGCATCAGGCTGGGGAGCTGCAGCCATGAGGAGGAAAGACGCTTCCAGTCTGCCTCGCTCTGTTTAAAAATAAAAATTAAAAAAAAAAAAGTAATTGTGTAGGGCCTGTGACGCCCCTTCGGGTGAGGGTGACAGACTTGGCTAAAGTCCCTGCCGACTGCGTCCTGGGGCGCTCGCTCGGCGTCCCCCATCGCTATGGCAACGCCGCAGAGTCGGGGCGCCCAGCTCCGCCCCTCTGGGAACACCCCCCGACAAGCCTTCCCCCCATAGGTCGCTTCCCGGAGGCCCTGCCCACCACACCGGGTATAAAAGCAGCCCGGGGCCCGGCGGGGCGGGGAGACTCGAGCCCAAAGTTGGGGTTCCTCGGAGGCGCTTGGGCGGGGGCGGGGGGTGCTCAGGCTGCTTGTGCGTAGGTAAGTGCGTCCCCCCCATTTCCCACACGGTCCTTCCCGGGGATTGGGAGGGCTCCCCGAAGCAGGTGGCGGGGTCGAGGGTCTGGCAGCGGCATGGGAGGGTTGGGACTGGCCGGAGCAGGTGGCCGAGACCCTTGGCCCAGTTGGCCCCAGTTCAGGACCCAGTTGGGCGGCGACCAGAGCTCAGAGGGTGACGGTGGTGGCATGGCGGCGCGGGGGGTGGTTAGAGCCTGCAGGTGGCCAGTCCTGACATCACGCTCTGCACTCAACACCGGTCCAGCTGCTGCGGGCCAAAAGTTTACCTGTCTGTCAAGCCGGCCGTGAGTGGATGAGCTCTCTGCCCAGTGTAGGCTGTCCCCCGTGGAGTGGGCAGGAGGGTCCTTTCCCGCGTAAAGGAAGCAGAAGTGGCAGCCACCCACCCACGGGACGGGGCTTTCGCGTGGACACACACACGCAGTACACTCCCAGTCCCTGGGGTGTCCACACTTCTCCACATGCTGTTTGCCTGGTCCTCCACCTTCTGCATTTGGGGAAGAGGGGTGTCCGCAAGAGAACAAGGCTTGCCCCAGTCCCAGAGTCCAGCTGCACCCAACCCCAGGCCTGGGAGGGCTGCTGTGCTGCAGGACCCCCCCTACCCCAGCTGAGCTGTTCCCCCATCCCCACCCCAGGGTGACCCTGCAGTGGCATTGCACTGGACATGTCGGACACGGAGGCGACTCCGGACCAGCAGGTGAGGGGGATGCTGACGGGCAGGGGGTCCCCTCTTGCTGTTCACGCGCCTCCGGAGTGGGGGTTCCTCCCTGCCCCCCCAACTGGGCGTCCTTCACAGCACCACAGCAGCATTTGTTGACACGGGTCCCAGGTCCCAGGTTTCCATTTGCTGCCACCGACCAGTGGGACCTGAGCCACCCATTTCAGAGATGACAAGTGGGGTGCACGGTAGCTACACCCTCTTGCTGTAGCTCCCCAGGGCTCCTCCCTGTCCTGCGCCCCTCCTAGCCTGGAGACAAGAAGTGTGCCAAGGTGGCACTGACCACCACCCACCCCTGCTCCCTGGACCCCTTCTGACGTCTCTGTCCTGTCCCACAGAATGTGGTACAGCGTGTGGTGGCCTTGCCCCTGGTCAGGGCCACGTGCACCATGGTGGCCGATGCTTACGGGGCGGCCAAGGACAGGCACCCGCTGCTGGGCTCAGCCTGCCGCCTGGCGGAGCGCTGCGTGTGCGGACTGACCACGCGGGCACTGGACCACGCCCAGCCGCTGCTGGAGCACCTGCAGCCCCAGTGTGAGTCCTCCCACCGTCACCCCCGTCTGTCCATCTCGTTCTTAGCCATGCATTATCCATACCCCCACGGACCCCCAGCCAGCTCTCCCCAAGTCGCTGCCTGTGGGGTACAACGCCATGCGTGGCAGGGGCAGCTGTGGATCCCAGCCCAGAGCCTCAGCCAGCTGCGGTCACCTTGAGCCTGCCCGCCAGGGCGTTCGAGCTGGGCAGGACCCAAGAGCCACCTCGCGTGACCTGGGGTGCAGGACAGAAGCGGGCAGAGGTGGGGGCGGTGCCCAGCCTGGCCCTTCCAGGGATGCAGTGTGAGGGGAGAGCAGTGCTGCCTGTGGTTCCTCCAGCCCCCTTCCCAACTGTGCCCCCAACCCAGCCCAGCCCCTGTGGCACTCTGTGCCTACCCAGGCAGGTGGTGTCACAACCACTGGTGGGGTCTCGTCTCTTGGTTCCTCCCCCACCTCATTCTATCTCTGCTTCTCCCTCCCGTATTCTTCCATGCATCCCACCTGTGTGCCTGCCCAGTGGCCACGGTGAACCATCTGGCCTGCAGGGGGCTGGACAAGCTGGAAGAGAAACTGCCCATTCTACAGCAGCCCTCAGACACGGTACTGGGACCGGCCGGGCCCTGGGAGCCGGAGATGGGAGATGGAGGGGGGAGGTGGGGTGCCGGCCGGGCTCTGGGGGCCGGAGATGGGAGACAGAAGGTCCATGGGGTAGAGGCAGCCTTTTGGGGGAACTCAAACCAGTCCCAAGCGGCACCACCATGCTATCATTGGCTGCTCGTGTGAGACACAGGTTTTACAGAGGGGAAGCTGAGACCATGCAAAAGTTTCGGCAGCCCTAGAGTCCCCCATCCCGGGTGGGGCAGGAGGGAAATCTATGGCTCCTGGAGTGGGGACCCCCCTTTCCTTGCCAGGTGGTGACTTCGGCCAAGGATGCGGTGGCCGATGGCGTGACAGGTGTGGTGGACCTGGCGCGGCGTGGCCGGCGCTGGAGCGTGGAGCTGACGCGCTCTGTGAGCCATGCCGTGGATGTGGTGCTGGGCAAGTCCGAGGAGCTGGTGGACCATTTTCTGCCGCTGTCCGAGGAGGAGTTGGGTGAATGCCTGGGGGACCCCACGGTCCGCCTGAGCCCAGTCAGGGTGGTCCAGGCAAACTGCCGTGATGGGATGGGGTCTGGGACCAGCCTGCCCCAGCCTGGGCTGGAACCCCGGGTCTGTCCGTGGGGCAGATGCGAGGGGTTGGCACCCACTAAGGAAATGACAGCTGACCCCCCTCTCCCTGTGCCCAGCGGCCCTGGCAGCCGAGGCCGAGGGCCCGGAGGTGGGCTCGCTGGAGGAGCAGCGAAGACAAAGGGGCTACTTCGTGCGCCTGGGCTCGCTGTCGACGCGTCTCCGCCACCTGGCCTACGAGCACTCCCTGGGGAAGCTGCGACAGAGCAGGCACCACACCCAGGACACCCTGGCCCGGCTGCAGGAGGCGCTGGAGCTGGTGAGAGTCCGGGGTGGGACAGGGCGCGCTGGCCAGGTGGCCAGAGGGATGCAGCCCCCGGGGAGGGCAGGGCTGGACATCCAGGGAGGAGGCCTGGGCGCCCCCAGGTCCCTTACCCCTCAACTAGGTCCCCACCGCCCAGTGCTTGCCAGGAAGCCCAGTTCCTGCCCTGCTCCTAGAGGGCGCCCGTGAGCAGCCCTCCTCATAGCAGCAGGTGCTCCTGCAGTGCTGACCACCCCGGCTAGGGTGGGCACTGTGCTCTGGCTGGGGTGGGCCCTGGACAGTGCTGACCACCCCGGCTAGGGTCCCTGTACAGCGCTGGACGGCCGGGCTGGGGTGGGCCCTGTGCCCCGGCTGGGGTGGGCCCTGGGCAGTGCTGACCACCCCGGCTAGGGTGGGTCCTGGGCTCCCTGACCGCCCTCCCTCCCCAGTCCTCCCGCCCACCGTGACCCGTCCCGCCCCGTCCCTGCAGATCCACGGCGTGCAGTGCCAGTGCGAGGCGACCCCCGGCCCTCCAGCCTGCACCTCGGGGAAGGCGTACCAGCTGTGGGAGGCCTGCGGCCTGCACCCCGAGAATGGCCGGAGGCGGAGCCAGGTGGGTGGGTCAGGGAGGTGGGCGGGGCCAGGTGAGGCGGGCAGGTGAGGTGGGCGGGGCCAGGTGAGGCGGCCAGGTGAGGCGGGCGGGGCCAGGTGAGGCGGCCAGGTGAGGCGGGCGGCCAGCACGCAATGGCCAACGCGCTGGGGCCTCCCGCCGCAGGCCGAGCTGGAGACGCTGGCGCTGACCCGGAGCCTGACGCAGGAGCTGCAGGCCGCGGCCGAGGCGCTGGAGGCCGGCGTGCGCGGCCTGCCCGCCGGCGCCCAGGACAAGGTGGCCGAGGTGCGGCGCAGCGTGGACGCCCTGCGCGCCGCCCTCGCCGACGCCCGCTGCTTCGGGGACGTGCCGGCCGCCGCGCTGGCCGAGGGCCGGGGCCGCGTGGCGAGGGCGCACGCCTCCGTGGACGAGCTGCTGGAGCTGGTGCTGCAGGCCGTGCCGCTGCCCTGGCTCGTGGGGCCCTTCGCGCCCATCCTGGTGGAGCGGCCCGAGCCCCTGCTGCCGGACCTGGAGGCCTGCGTGGACGAGGTGGTCGGGGGTCCCGACCCTCGCTGGGCGCACCTGGACTGGCCCGCCCAGCAGAGGGCCTGGGAGGAGGCCCGGCTGCAGGGGCAGGGGCAGGGGTCGGCGGGCCCCGGGGGGGACACGCCTGAGGAGGAGCCGGTGCCCCCCAGCACCCCGGCCAGGCCCACCCTCATGCCCGAGCTGGACTTCTGACCCTGCACGTGGAGGTCCCTGGCACCCCCTAGTGGCCGCCCTTTGCCATAGGCACGTAGAAATGGGGTGCAGGGCAGGGACTGGGGTGCAGGGCAGGGACTGGGGTGTGAAACAGGGACTGGGGTGCAGGGCAGGGACTGGGGTGCAGAGCAGGGACTGGGGTGAGGGCAGGGACTGGGGTGAGGGCAGGGACTGGGGTGAGGGCAGGGACTGGGGTGTGAAACAGGGACTGGGGTGCAGAGCAGGGACTGGGGTGCAGAGCAGGGACTGGGGTGCAGGGCAGGGACTGGGGTGAGGGCAGGGACTGGGGTGCAGAGCAGGGACTGGGGTGCAGAGCAGGGACTGGGGTGCAGGGCAGGGACTGGGGTGCAGAGCAGGGACTGGGGTGCGGGGCAGAGACTGGGGCACCATCCAGGCTGCATTTCCTACCCCACACTGGTCTGTGCCCACTCCCCACCCACCCCGGCTGCCCACTGACTCCTCCTGGAACTTTGGGAGGGAGTCCCCTTCCTCCAGCTGAGACCCTGGACTGAGGCGTCGTCCCCCACGTCCACCCCGTGACATTTCCCCTCTGAGATTTCATCTTCCAGAATAAAGCTGCTTTATGTTGTCTGAAGGCCCTGTCCGTCGCCTCTTGTCCCAGCTGGGGTGGCACCCTGCCCAGGTGCCCAGGGAGGTCTGAACAGGGTGCCCCCCCGAGCGTCTGGGCTCCCCATGGCCCGTGTCTGCCTGGAGTGGCAGCTGCTTTCACTTGAGTAGTTGCATGTTCCTTGGGGAACGAGGGGCAGGTGGGGGGACAGGCCAAGGCTGACAGCCACTCTGCCCCCCGCCCTGGTGGCCCTGGCCTTGACCGGCAGGGTGTGGTCTTCCTGGGGCTTCCCTCATGCCACGGGGCAGTCTCCCAGGAGCTTTCCTGTCCTCTGCCCGCATTCCTGACTGCTGAGGCCAGGGGCGGGTGGGCGGGCATGCAGGGGTGTTGGGAAAGCACGCTCCTCCGGCTTGGTGAGGTCGGTGGCTCCTGGCCTCCCTGGCACTCCAGCTGCTTCCCACTCCCCGCCCCAACGTGTCCCCAGTTCTGACTCCGCACTTGCACTCCCCACCCCCCCTCCCCATTCCTAGGTCTTCACCATCTGGAAGCTTCTGCCTCTGTTATACAACTACTGGGATGCAGGGTGGGGTGTCCTGCCTACCCTGCTCCCACTGTCTTCACTGTGACTCTTCTTCAAGCCTCAACACCCTCCGCCCCAGCCTCCAGGAAGCCGGCTGGGACTGCAGCACCCCTTCTGCGACCCTCCACGGCCCACCTTGCTCTTCTCACGGGAGGCCAAGGCGGGATCAGAACAGTTGGGAAGAACGGTGTGACAAGCACTGGGGTGAGGCAGCAATGGCCAGTGGAGACGTGGGGCCGTTGGGAAACTGAGGCAGTGGGCGGAGGCCCAGCCTTGCCTCTGCCTAGGGGTGACCTGGTGGTTCACGGAACACTAGGGGAGCCAGACGGATAGTCAGCAAGAAGTGGCTCCAGGACAGAGCCGGGGTGTCTGAGGTGGGGAGGGGGCGGCAGCAGAGTGAGCAGGCAAGTTATGGGGAGACCCCCTTGGGCCTGGAGGTCGTGGGAACCACGGAGTGCCATGGGCAGAGGGTGGCAGAGTCCTCCTCGCCTAGCGTTGGACGGGGTTTCCCTTGCCACCCTTGGGAACGCCGGCTGGGAGATGCCAGCATTTGGTGGCGGGCGGGGGGGGGGGTGGGCTCTGTTTGGCAAATACAGCTCTGGTTCCAAGGAGACGGCCTGGGGGTCATCGGGCCCAAAGGCCAGACACCACCCATCCCTGCACAGCCACCCAAAGGGTTTGCCCCCTCACCCCAAAGGCATGTAGCAGCCACCCCTTGGCCAACCTCACCCTCTGAAAACAGCCTGGCACACCGGGTACCCGGAATGCCTTCTCCACCCCTGCCCTTGCTTGCAGACCCCGGGGCGCCCCTTTTGGGTTCACATCTCATCCAGTGAGGTGGCCAGATGCCAGGCCGGGTGCTGGGGGAGAGGGCAGAACCAGCAGTGACCGGCCAGGAGCAGGCAGCTACAGGAGCTGATGTGTAATAAACCTTATCCGGGGAGACTGAGGCATAAGTGGTCACTGGGCAAGGGGCAAACCAGATAGAGGGATGGGGCAGGCAGAGTGGGCTGGTGCCGTATGCCCCAGGTGTGTGTGTGTGTGGCAGGGGGCTAGCAGGGAGCTCAGGCGGCCGTGAATCATCTGCCGCTGGCAGAAGTCGCCTGGGTGCTGGGAGCAGGGGAAAGGTGCTGGGCCCGGGGCCCAGGGCCCCAGGCTGGGCCAGGCAGGCAGACACGTGATCTCCCGCCCGGACGCCCGCCTCCCCCTCCCTCCGCCAGCCGGGCCGGCACCCGCCCCAGACCCTATAAGGCCTGGGAGCCGAGTGCAGAGCCAGCCAGCTGCCAGCTGCGCCACACGCTGGTACCACCACTCTGAGAGACCCCCGCACACGCAGCCCAGGTGAGCGTGGCAGTGTGGGCCTCTGGTGAGGCTGGGCGTGCAGGGCAGCCCCCTCAGCACACTCCTATTCTCTGCTTTTTCCAGCTGTCCTAGACCGAGACCATGTCCGCCACGGACGAGGGGAGCCGGGAGGCCCCCAAGGCCAAGGGCAAGGTGACGGAAGGCAGGAGGGACACCTGCTGGGTTGGACTCCTTCCTGGGGAAAGTGGTCTCCCCAGCAGGGATCTGGCAATGGCCTTCCCAGGCTGGGGGGTGAGAGTGAGGGGGCGGTTAGGGAGGCGCTAGGAGCTGTGACAACTGTTCCTGTCACTTGCTGGGGGGTGGGCTCCCACTGCATGACTGACTGTGTGTTTGTGTGTGTGTGTGAGGGGGCCATTGCCCAGGCGGGGGGACGGAGGCCTGGAGTGGCTTGCTCTGCCCCTCCCCTTGCCCGAGGTCTCCCCATTCCACCCCAGCGGCAGCAGGGTCAGGGGTTTGAGGCTGGCATTGGATCCCAGGTGGTGCCATACTTGGCCTTACTCATGTCTCCCCCGCCCCATACACCTCCTGGTGCAGACTCTAAGCAGCTTCTTCGGGTCTCTGCCCGGCTTCAGCTCCGCCCGGAACCTGTTAGCCAACGCCCACAGCTCTGTAAGAGAGGCTCGGCCCAGCGCGGACACCACGGGTGCCAAATCCCAGGCTTCAGGTGAGTGGCCAGTGCCTGGGGGTGGCACCTGGGGAAACCCCACCTTTTGTGTGCGTCACCTCATTGCACATGGCGGGGCTTGGTGCACACGCTACCCCACACTAGGTGGGGAAACAGGCAGAAGCATAGACAAGAGCCTGCTCTGTGTCCCTGCCTGGACACGCTGGGTGGCTGCTGCACAGCCGACACAAGAGGGAAGCTGGCAGTCCTGGCAGGGGCTGGTGGTTCGCTCCACCTGCTGCGGGCTGTGCGGGAGCCCCCCATAAACTGCCCAGCAGGCAAGACAAGGTGGATGTGACCCCATGAGGCCCTGCGGCGGCGTGAGTTGTGGGGGTGGAGCCCGTGGCCAGGCTGGTCTGTGGCCACCGATGTCACCTGCTGCTGTTGTCCCTGACGGGGGTGGCTGGGAAATGGCTGACCTTTCTGGCTGTGCCCGGGGAGATTGCATAATGGGCATACATACCCACTGCCTGCCCTGACTGGGCCCTGTCCCTGCAGGGGCTGTCGAGCCGGAGCCAAAGGCCAGCGCGACAGAGAAGCCACCTTCAGAACAGGTGCGGGGGCGTCCCCAAACTTACCCAACCCAGCGGGAGCCCGGAGGTGCCCTTCCCCAATTCAGGTGTCAGTCCTGCCACCTGCAGGCGTCTCAGGCCGCCATGGGAGAAGAGGGTACACACCCCAGGGCTGGGGCTCAGGGATCCTGCCAGCTCTTCATTCTCTGGCCCTCCGTGTCCCGCGCCATGAGGTCCAGGGAAGCCGAGCCACCTTGGGTCCCCGGGCCAGATGTGGGGGTGCCAACCCGCACTCTCTCTGTGCCAAGAGCACCCCATAAGTCATGAAAACCAGAGATGCTCCACCCCGATATGGCATAGTGTCTCCTTGGGAGCAGGATCTAGTCCATTCTCTGCCCCCAACACCCCTGGGAAACATAACTGAACCAAAAACAGTCCTTGGGTTTGTTTACTTGGGTCACATGGGCAGCCAGGAAGTCCTTCGAGGCGCTGCCCAGCCCCTGTTGCCCAGCCCTGCTGCCCGTGCCTGCAAGTTCCTGGCTGCCCCGAAGTTCAGCTTCCCCAGGGAATTGCAGTGCAGGACAAGCAGCGGAGTGGGTATAGGGAGGGAGAACAGACGTGGGACAACACTGTCCTCTCTCTGCAGATGACGTCTGGGGACAAGGACCCAGCAAGTTTCACGATGGATTCGCTCAGCTCGGGGCTGGCCAGCATGGTGGACACTGCTAAAGGGGTGGTCCAGGGAGGGCTGCATACAAGCCGCTCCGCTCTTACAGGCACCAAGGAGGCGCTAACGGGCGGGCTCCAGGGGGCGCTAGATGCGGCTATGGGAGCCGTCCAGGGAGGTCTGGACACATCGAAGGCGGCTGTCTCAAGCACCAAGGATACCGTGTCTGCCGGGCTCACGGGGGCCATGAACGTGGCCAAGGGCACTGTCCAGACTGGCATGGACACATCTAAGTCTGTGCTAACTGGCTCCATGAATGTTGCCAAGGGAGCAGTCCAGGGAAGTCTAGACACCACCAAGACCGTCCTGACCGGAACCAAGGACACCATGTCAGCTGGGCTCACAGGGGCCATGAACGTGGCTAAAGGAGTGGTCCAGACTGGCATGGACACATCTAAGGCTGCACTGACCGGATCCATGAATGTGGCCAAGGGTGCCGTGCAAGGGAGTGTAGACACAGCCAAGACAGCACTGACCGGAACCAAGGACACCATGTCAGCCGGGCTCACAGGGGCCATGAACGTGGCTAAAGGAGTGGTCCAGACTGGCATGGACACATCTAAGGCTGCACTGACTGGATCCATGAACGTGACCAAGGGTGCCGTGCAAGGGAGTGTGGACACAGCCAAGACTGTGTTAACTGGCACCAAGGACACCGTGTCAGCCGGGCTCACGGGAGCCATGAAAATGGCACAGGGTGCTGTCCAGACTGGCATGGACACATCTAAGTCTGTGCTAACTGGCTCCATGAATGTTGCCAAGGGAGCAGTCCAGGGAAGTCTAGACACCACCAAGACCGTCCTGACCGGAACCAAGGACACCGTGTCTGCCGGGCTCACAGGGGCCATGAACATGGCACAGGGTGCTGTCCAGGCTGGCATGGACACATCTAAGGCTGCACTGACCGGATCCATGAATGTGGCCAAGGGTGCCGTGCAAGGGAGTGTAGACACAGCCAAGACAGCACTGACCGGAACCAAGGACACCATGTCAGCTGGGCTCACAGGGGCCATGAACGTGGCTAAAGGAGTGGTCCAGGCTGGCATGGACACATCTAAGGCTGCACTGACCGGATCCATGAATGTGGCCAAGGGTGCCGTGCAAGGGAGTGTAGACACAGCCAAGACAGCACTGACCGGAACCAAGGACACCGTGTCTGCCGGGCTCACAGGGGCCATGAACGTGGCTAAAGGAGTGGTCCAGACTGGCATGGACACATCTAAGGCTGCACTGACTGGCTCCATGAATGTGGCCAAGGGGGCAGTCCAGGGAAGTCTAGACACAGCCAAGACCGTCCTGACCGGAACCAAGGACACCATGTCAGCTGGGCTCACAGGGGCCATGAACGTGGCCAAAGGGGCCGTTCAGACTGGCATGGACACATCTAAGGCTGCACTGACTGGCTCCATGAACGTGACCAAGGGTGCCGTGCAAGGGAGTGTGGACACAGCCAAGACTGTGTTAACTGGCACCAAGGACACCGTGTCAGCCGGGCTCACGGGAGCCATGAAAATGGCACAGGGTGCTGTCCAGGCTGGCATGGACACATCTAAGTCTGTGCTAACTGGCTCCATGAATGTTGCCAAGGGAGCAGTCCAGGGAAGTCTAGACACCACCAAGACCGTCCTGACCGGAACCAAGGACACCGTGTCTGCCGGGCTCACAGGGGCCATGAATGTGGCACAGGGTGCTGTCCAGGCTGGCATGGACACATCTAAGGCTGCACTGACCGGATCCATGAATGTGGCCAAGGGAGCCGTGCAAGGGAGTGTAGACACAGCCAAGACTGTCCTGACCGGAACCAAGGACACCGTGTCAGCCGGGCTCACAGGGGCCATGAACATGGCCCAGGGTGCTGTCCAGGCTGGCATGGACACATCTAAGGCTGCACTGACCGGATCCATGAATGTGGCCAAGGGAGCAGTCCAGGGAAGTCTAGACACCACCAAGACCGTCCTGACCGGAACCAAGGACACCATGTCAGCTGGGCTCACAGGGGCCATGAATGTGGCCAAAGGGGCCGTTCAGACTGGCATGGACACATCTAAGGCTGCACTGACCAGATCCATGAATGTGGCCCAGGGTGCCGTGCAAGGGAGTGTAGACACAGCCAAGTCTGTCCTGACAGGCACCAAGGACACCGTATCGACTGGGCTCACAGGGGCCATGAACGTGGCCCAGGGTGCTGTCCAGGCTGGCATGGACACCTCAATGTCGGCCCTTGCTGGTACCAAGGATTTGGTCAGCAGTGGGGTGACCAGTGTCATGAGTGTCACCAAAGGGCTTGTCCAGGGGAGCTTAGACAGCTCAAAAGCTGTCACTACTGGTACCAAAGACGCCACGTCCACTGGGCTCACGGGCGCAGTGAGCCTGGCCAAAGGAGCCGCTGGGAGCGGGCTGAACACAGCCCACAGCATGGTGGCCAGTGCTGTGAGCATGGCCCAGGGAGCTGGTCAGGGTGGCCTGGATGCCACCAAGACTGTGTTGGCTGGCCGCAAGGACATAGGGGCCCTGGGATACCCTGGCCAGCATCCTATGCCCCAGGCCTCTACCTGGGGGGCGGTAGGGGGAGGCAGCTGCGAGCTGACTGCTCTGCCCTCTGGGGCCTCCAGCCCCCCAGAACTTCTCTCTGCAGGTCTGGAGTTCGCCCAGGGAGCCACCACCGACACCAATGACCTTATATCCGACATGGCCCCACTCGCCCGAGACGCAGCTCTGAGCAGCGAAGGGGTCAGGCAGGTGGCAGCAGCGGGTGGCTGCGAGGGAGCTGCAGGCTTCGCGATGCTACGGGACGAGTTTGAGGGGCTTGGGGAGATCTTCCACCCCATGAGTGCCGAGGAACAAGGTGAGAAGGCAGAGGCCCCGGAAGGACTCGACTCACTTCCCCTGGGGGGGGGGCCTCCCCCAGACCTCATTCATTGCCTGCCCCACCCTTCCTCTTCAGCTGAGCTGGCTGCCTCGGAGCCCGAGCCCAAGGTGCTCTCGGCTGACCGGGGGAGCTTCTATGTCCAACTGGGAGACCTGGCCCCCGCCTTCCGGCAGCGCGCCTTTGAACACGCCTTGAGCCACCTGCAGCATGGCCAGTTCCAAGTGAGAGAGGCTCTGGTCCAGCTTCGCGACTCCTGTCAGCTGGTGAGCCCCACCCCATTCCCAGGGGTCCTCCTCGCATCACCGCCCCCTGCCCCTTTGCGCTGGGTGACAGGTGACAAGGAGGCAGCCTGCAGGGACAGGAGGGGACAGCCGTGGGCCGCCACGTCTGTGAAAGGTGAAAGCATCTAGAAAGGCCATCATATGGGAAGGTACCCAAGCCGGAGCAGTCACCCCTCACCCCTGCTCACACACTGGAGCTGGGACCCACTCTGGGTACTGCTAGGCCCGCCAGAATCCATGCCGGGAGCACCCCCGCACCCCAAAAACATCTCTGTGATACCCTGTTCGGGGACACCCACACGTTGAGTGGACTGGGAAAGAAGGCCCCACGAGGGCAGCAGCTGCCATCTGTGAGAGCACTTCCCGTGGGCCGCTGAGTGCTGGGGCCACAGTCTTCCCGCTGGACACCTGAGCTAATGCCGGCCAATGAGAACCCAGATGGGACAGGGAGTGACCCGGGGATGCCCCAGCGGTGGCCTTGCTCCCCAACACCCACAAGGTGGCCAGATGACAGCATCCCTATGGGTCAACCTGCCACCCTGCTCTGGCTTCCCCGCCCAGCCTCGGGGCTCTGTACCCCTAAACGGTGCTTCGCAGGAGGCCAGCCCCCCCATACCAGGCTCTCTTTCCAGATGGAGCAGAGCACACAGCCGCTGGACATGCAGCCGTGTCAGCACCAAGGCTCAAGTGCCAACGTGGCGTACACGGATCCAGTGCAGGTACATGGTGCATACGTGGCTCACCCGCCTCTCCCCAGCCCCTGCCCTCCATTCCCTGCTCACCGTGCTGCCTCCTTCCTCCCACAGGAGTGTGACGCTGCCGGGGCCCTGTCCCAGGCCTGTGGCCTCATCCAACAGCTCCACAGAGCCTATAGTGGCCTGGCCTCTGGCCTGCAGGGCCTCTCCCCGGAGCTGCAGCAGCAGCTGGGGCAGGCGCGGCACGGCCTCTGCCAGCTCTATAGTCTCATGTCTGGGGCCGGGGATGTGCGTGAGCTGCCCGCTGGGCAGCTGGCCCAGAGCTGTGAGGCCGTGAGCCAGGCATGGCAGGGGCTGGAGCGGCAGCTAGAGGGTCTGCAGCATGGTCCACCACTTGGCTGGCTGGTGGGGCCCTTCGCCCTGCTGGGCAGCGGGCAACAGCTGTAAGTGCCCGAGCAGGGAGCCCCAGCCTCTCTGAGGGCCCTTCCCTGGCCAGAGCTGGCTCAGGGCTCCCTGTAAGCTGAGCAGGGAGGTGCCAGTTCGGCCATGCCCCCTGCGCCTTTTGAACCGCAGACCCCATCCTGAGCCAGGGCTTTCCCAACACCTGCGAGCAGACACTCCTACTGACCACACAAAGTGCCCGGGCCCCTCCATACCCTGGGACCCCTCTAACTGAGGGGGGCTTGTCTTTCCCCCATCTGACCTGAGAGCACCCAACCTGAAAGGGCCCTGGGAGTGGCTCCCCCACAAAGAGCCACTGTCACTGTCACTGCCACTGTCTTCCTGAGCTGCTGCCCGCAGCCTCTGCCACACCCCAACGTGACCAGAACCTGGCAGTGGGCAGCGGAACCCCTCCTCCCTCCCAGAGTGGCACATTCCCAAAGCTGCCTGTGCCCACAGCCAGCACTTTCGCTCAACCCATGCCATCCTGGAGCCCACGGGGGGGACCCCAGGCATAGCTCCCTCCAACTGGGGACAGGGCTGGGACGGAGGTGCTTCTCGAGCCTTCCAGAGCCTCTTCCTCACTCAGCCACCACACCAGGCCCGGGGACTCCAGCGTGAGTCTGTGTGGGCCACCCTGCTGAGCTGGGCGAGGCAGGCAGGGGTGACACATGCCAGAAGCCCCTGCCGCAGGGGCTGGCCAGCCACCGTGAGCCTGGGGTTACCTCCTGACGGGATGACGGGTCACAGAAATGCCATGGGAAGAGTGGAGGTGGCACTGTCTCCCTGCCCCAGGGCCCAGGGATGAGGACTCAGGGCACAGCCTGGGGTGGATATGGGCGGCAACTGGCAGGAAGGGCGCGGTCCCCGGGCACGGCATGCATGAGCGGCCAAGCGCCGAGTTCACAGGGATGTCACTTTCTCGTGTCCCCTGGAGAGGCCCAGCTCACCTTCTCACGGCTGGCCCCCCGGCCCCCCCTGCGCTGTGCACTTGGCGGCCACGGCTTAACCCTTTGTTCCCCAAAGGACATTTTTCTCCAATTCTGGCTGCCCAGGACCCACCAGGTCAATAAAATGGATGTCTTGTTTTCATTAAAAAAACCCTTTATAGTCATTTCATGTCGGTCGGAAATCAGAGAAACGAGGCAGAAGAAAATCCAAGGGGACAAATACAAACAAACAGCGTGGTGTCCCCCCACAAGTTCTCGGCTCTCCTGGGAGGCTGGGGAGGGACGGGGTGGGCTGGGGCTACGTGCGGCGAGCTCGGGGCCGGGGCCAGGCCGGACTGACCCGCTCAGCTCTCCTCGTCCGGGGACTCCGAGTGTAACCGCACCCTCTCGTGCTCCGGCTGCTCACTCCCAGGCCTGTCCAGCTCAGGGCCCTCCTGCAGCCTGCTGGGGGTGGGGGGATCAAGCAAAGGGTGGGCCTGAGGACCCCCTTCCTGGCCCTGGGACCCCAGACCCCTTCTCTGCTTGCAGGAGGAGGGCGGGGGACCCCGAGGAGTAGGGTCCTGCCTTCTCTCTCCTGCCACACGAAGGGCTACAGTTGGCTCGAGGGCACGTTCGCGCCCTGCGCCCTCTATGCCCAGGCCAGCCAGGACCAGCACCAAGTGGCACCTGAGTGTGACCGCCATGGGCCACATCTGGGGGGGGGATGGGGTCAGCAGGAACCCAGACAGCTTTTGAAGCCCTGGAGCTGCCTCGGGGAGGGCCATGACTAGGGAGGCAAAGTCCCACTGGGTTCTGGAGTTCTATCGCAAATGTCGGGGGTCAAGGCAGAGCCGCCCCGCGGCCCCGTCTACACTCACTTGTTGTGCAGGTCTTCTGAGGAGCCGCAGCCCGGTCCCTCCTCCAAGTGCGGCTCACCCTCGGCCTCCTTGTCCACTGTGCTCTCCTTCTGGGATGTGGCCTCGCCATTCACGGGCGCTGAAAGGTCTGGGAGAAGGACATGAGCCCATGGCAGCCTGCAGGCCTGTGCCCAGGGACACTTCACCCTTGCCCACCCCATGCACAGTGAACTGGCCTCCCCCTACCCTACGGGAGGCGTGGTGCCAGGATGAGCTGGGCCAGATGCACTGAGACTGTCCCAGGATCTGGGTCTGGGTGGGAGCCCAGTGGCTGGCTGCACCCCCAAGGGGGCCAGGGTGGTTAAGTGCTGCAGCTGGCCCAGAGAGGTGAGGGTCCTGGCACGGGCAGCCGTGCTAACACTGAAGGACCTGGAACAGATGCCAGCCTCGGGGCATCCCCCAGAGGCCTTCGGCCGCCACCCTCCGGCTGGACACAGGTGCTCAGGGAAGCACACACCTGCAGACCTACTGCCACCAACTTCTCTCGCCAGCCTGGCTCCCCAAACTCCCATCAGCAGCCTGGGGGGCGCCCCAGGCCTGAGCCCACAGGCATGTGGACACACGGTGTCCTGGCCTCAAGGGCCCTGCCAGCTGCCCCACACCAGGGAGCATGTGTGCAAGCAGACTCCGCCTCTCCTTGGATGTGCCGCCCGGGCTGCTCACCGGCGCTGGGCTCCGCCTCGGCCTTCTCCTTGGGGGGCTCCTCCCCCGGCAGCGCCTCTCCGGCCTTCTCTGCCTCGGCCTTCTCCTTGTCTGTGGGGCCTGCCTTGTTCGCTTTCTGGATCGCCTCGATCTTGGGCCCCAGGACCCGCGACTTGAGCCGCGTGTACACCTCCGCTGCCTTCTCCATCACCTCCTTGTTGGCTTTGTAGCGGCGGATCTGGCCGCGAGAGGCTGCACTCACACAGGGGCAAAGGCAGTAGGGCCTGCCATCCCCGCCACCTGAACACCCCTGATCCCTGTCCTGTACCTTCTTCAGCGTGGCTACCACATCCGTATTCTTCTGCAGGATCTGAGAAGTCACTTGCAGGGTCCCCAGCTGCTCCAGCGCGCCCAGACACCTCTTCACATCCTGTTGGGGGAAGAGAAGTAAACCATGAAGGGGCAGCACCAGGTAAGGGGGTCCCGGCAGCCCTCACGGGGCAGGGACCCTCTCCCACAGAACACAGCTATCTGCACCCTACCCTAGCTGGCAGGGAACTCAGGGCAAGAAGCAGAGAGACATGTGGGGTTCCCCAGGAAGCTGGGATGGGAGCCTGGCTCCTCAGGCCAACTCCGGGGCCACTGGCCAGGGACCCCCAGCATCCCGCACGGCCCTGCCCTGGCTCCCAACACCTGACTTCTATGGGAGTCTTAGAAGTGGGGGGTGGCAGGGGGCCAGGGCAGGGCTGTGACCCTGGGACATTAAAGAGGGAAGGGCTCACCGGGTTGTCCACTTTCAGGGCGAACTTGATCTCACTGTGCAGCTTCTGTAGCTTCTCCTCCACGGAAGGTTCTGGGCCGGGGGAGAGAGCAGTGCAGGGCCTGAGCAGTGCACCGTGGGGGAGGACTGGACCACAGCGGGGCTGGCTGGCGTGTGCACGTGCTGCCGGGGGTCCCCAGGTCTGTGAGTCCAGGGACCCCGTCCGGCGACAGCCACCGGCACCCTGCACCCCTCACCTTTCTTCTTCTCCACCTTTTTCTCCGGCTGGAACCCCTCAGACCGCTTCCGGGTCCGCTCCACCTTCGCGGGCCTGTGGAGAGTCACTTTAATCAAACGTGCGCTGAGCCAGGCTTTTCTCCCGGACCAGCCTGCCCTAAAAACACCCAACTCCCACACCACGAGGTCGGGGCCTGGGGGAGACCCTGGGAGAATAGTGTGAACAGGGGTTAAGGCTCTGACACACCCTAAATCCAAGGCAGGGGGTCCGGGGAGCTGCAAACCCCAAGCTGCAGCCCTGGCTCTCAGCAACACCAGTCATCCCAGCATGCTTTGCCCCAGCACAGGTGGCAGAGCTGGCACCACCAGAAGCGGCAGGCCTGCTGCTCAGGGGCCCCAGCGGCAACTGCACCAGAGGCCACGTCTGCACCCTACCCTGTGCCCCCTCCATCACGCCCAGCCACATTCTCACGGGGTGGGCTTGGTCTGGGAGAGCCGGAATTCCACTCAGCAGCGGCAGGCTGGGAGCAGGGCCATCCCTCACCCCGGTGGGCCTCGGGAAGGCAGCAGAGGATGGCTTAAGTCCCTGGGTCCCTGCCACCCACGTGGGACACCCACATGGAGCCCCTGACTCCTTGCTTCAGCGTGGCCCAACCCTGGCCGGTGCCACCATCTGTGGAGTAAAGCCCCAGACTAGAGCGCAACATCACGGTGCCAGGCACGTCAGGCCAGGGACCTTTCCGGAGGTGGGGCCACCGCAGGCACCAAGCCGGGGAGCAGCGACCCTGGTCACCACCCACTCCACACACCCCAGCCATAACTGTCCCCAGAGGGACACAAACCTCAGGTAATGACCATGACCCCGGGACCCAGAAGAACTGAGAAGCCCCTGGGGAGGGTACAGCGAGCAGAGTTGGGCAGGGCAGGGGCTGGGAGGTGCTGGTACAGCGAGCAGAGTTGGGCAGGGCAGGGGCTGGGAGGTGCTGGCACAGGGAGCAGAGCTGGGCGGGGCAGGGGAGAAGCTGCGAGGTGCTGGCACAGGGAGCAGAGCTGGGCGGGGCAGCGGTGGGTACTGACTTGGCTCGGGGCCTCTCCTCGGGCCGCCCCCTCTTCTCCTTCTGGCTCGGCTTCCTGGCCGACTCTGTGCTTGGGAGCTGCAGCTTCTTGGCTGATTTCTTGACCTGCAGTGGTGGTCCACGGGGGAGGTGAGCTGGCACGTGAGAGGTGGCCCTCCACCCCAGACCCCTGTGCGCCCTGCATGGGCACTGCAGTACCACTGTGCCACTCTCCTCGGCCAGGGCTGCCAGGCTCGGAACCCATCCTGGGCATGGGCATGGACTTCGAGCTCCACCCAGAGGGTCAGCTCTTCTTGTCCAGTAGCCCTGGGAGGGAGGCGGATGGCTCAAGGACTCGCTGTGCCAGACGAGCAGAGGACCGTGCTAACTCCTGCTTCCCCCGAAAGGAGGCCTGGCCTTCCTGGGCCATCGGGTCAGAACTCGGCTCAGGCCGGTGGCACAGGGTGGGTGGGGTGCCTACCCCCATGCTGCTGCCACTCCCTCCCGGGGCCTCCCAGCAGCTCCTGCACTCCTGGCCAGAGAGCATGTGTGGGCGCCTGAATCAGCTTGTCCCTCCTCTGCGCACAGCACCCCTGGTTCCTACCTCCCTTGGGGTCACAGACCAATGTCAAGGTCACTTCCTCAGCTGTGGCCCCTTAAATCACACCCATACCCCCTGCCCGATCCAGCACCCAGGGTGCCCTTAAGCACGCATTAGCCCACTGGCCATCCACCCTTGCCCAGCATAGGGCGCCGGGCACCCAAGCTGGTTCCAAGCATGCAGCAGGCACCCGGTGAGTGTGCGGCGGCCCAGGCTGGACGTGCTGCGGACACTCACCTCGCGGTCAGGCTCGGCCTCGGGCTCCGAGTCGGAGGAGGACGGCGGCCCGCGGCCCCGGCCCCGGCGGCCTCGCTTCTTCACGGGCTCCTCCTCCTCCCGCAGCTCATCGCCGCTGCTGCCCCCGCTGCCTCCGCGCCCAGGCTCCCCGCGCTCCGCCCGCTCCCGTCGCCTCTCCTTCTCCTGCTGCTCCTGTTCCCGCAGCCGCCGCAGCTCCTCCTCCAGCTCCCGCCGCCGCCGGGCCTCCAGCTCCCGCCGCCGCTCCTCGTCCCGCCGCTTCCACTCACTGATGCGGTCCACTTCGTCGCTGTCACTGAGGGCGCGTGGCGGGGTAAGGGACAGTGAGAGGGGACCCTGCCCTGGGCCGCCCGCCCGCCCGCACGCACGCCTGCCCGCCCGCCCGGGAGTGGCCTGCCAGGCACCTGTCACTGCTGGAGCTGGACGGAGGCCGCTCCGGCTTGGGCTTCCGCCCTCGGGGCTTTGGGGGGGGCTTCTCAGCTGCAGTGAGCAAAAAAGGGGGTGATGTCTCAGCGGCCCAGGAGCTCAGGCGCAGCTAAGCTGGTAAGGGGGTAGGGGTGAGGGCGGGAGCGGGCGGCTCAGGGTGGCAGGTCAGGCCCCACCTGGCTTCCGGCCCCGAGCAGGCTTCTTGACAGAGACGTGAGAGCCGGAGGAGGAGGAGGAGGAGGAGGAGGAGGAAGAGGAGGATGGTGACCTCGCTGCAGTCACGGGCTCCTCCTTGGGCCCGTCCGAATCAGCTTTGCAGTCCGAGTCCGAGGCGGAGGGGGCCTTCTGGGGAGGGACAGGCAGGGCCGGGGCGGCGTCAGGGCTTGACCCCGGGCCCCAGACACCTGCCTCAGCTCCCACAGGCAAAGCTCCCATGGCTGCTGTCCCTCTGGCCATGAAGGCCACGTGTCTCCTGGCCTCCCCGGGGAGGAGACAAGACAGGGGGGTCAGGGAACACACAACTGGGGTGCAGGTGTCTCAGTGGGCCTGCCCCAGTACAAACGCATGCACACACACACATACACACACAGCCCCCAGACCACTCAGACCACGAGCACCCACACTCCCACTGCACACACAGCACCTGTACTTGTCAGCACACACTCCCCCTCCTCCTGATGCACCGGCCCCAAGTTGGCCTGGAGCCCCACGGCGGCTCTACCTTTTTCCGTGCCCCCAGTGGTGCCCGCCTTGGCGCCCGGGCCACGGCCTTCTTCTCGGGTGTGAAGTCCTGTGGGCAGAGCGGCAGCTGTAGGGGGGCCTGTGGGCGGCCCAGGAACTCTCCCCTAACCCCACCCTCGTGGCTCCCGGCCACCTGCACACCTGGTCGCTGGTCTTTTCCGACTCCGAGGAGCTCTCCGAGTTGTCCTCTTCGGACGGGGACACACTGCCTTGGTCCAGGTCGCTGGAGGCCTTGCGTGCTCGCTTGGAGACCGACATCTGAAAAGGGAACCACCCCCCAGGAGGGGAGCGGCCAGGTCAGCCTGGGGTGCCTTGGTGGGAAGCCTGCTCCCATGCCTGCTCTCAGCCCGGGGGGACTGGGGACCCCTGTGAGGGGCATCACACTGATGACACAAAGGCAAAGCCTGTGTGGGGACCACGCAGGGGAGGCGCCTCGGGAGCCATGGAGTTCCATGGGGACAGAGCGCCCGTGTGGGAGGGGCGCCTTGAACACAGACAGTAATGCCGGCCACATCAGCATGGTCATGTCCCGTGGGCCACAATTTATACGTCCACCAGACACTGTCCACACTTATGGTGGCAGAGCTGAGGCCCGGCTCCCCTCATGTCCTCCCTGGAAACAGACACACCCAGGGAAGGGGTGACCAGCGATGGGTCGGGGGCCTTGCGCCTCCTCAGGGGCGGAGAGAGGAAACGCCAAGGAACAGCAAGCCAGGGGCGGCAGGATGAAGCCGCCTGGGTCCCTCTGGGAGCCACACGCCGCTCACTCCAGGGCGCCCAGCGCAGACACGTGACATAAGCAGGATGGTAACGGGGCGATTATACATGGTCCCCAGGACCTCCCTCCTAAGGAGCAGGCAGACCCAGGCAGGCAGGACCAGGTCAGCTGTGCCCCCGGCCTCTGCCGTCCCAAGGGCCTCGCAGCATCACCTTACCCGCAGCCCTGCCCCCACCCTGGCAGGAGACCCCCATGAAACGCTGGCTCAAAGCCCAGCTCTATCACTGCAGGGTACAAGACCCAGCCAGACAAGGCACCCCGAAGGAGCACTTGGCCCCACGCGAGGAATGGGATGGATGCTGGGGGCACCCCGTGGAGGGGCTCCCAGAAAAGGCACGGGACTAAGCAGGTGCAGCTGCTGCCTGCAGTGCCAGATACTGTATGAACAAGCTGCTGGCAGCCGGCTGGTTCACTCCCCATTCAACTCCCTGCTAACGGCCCGGGAGAGCAGCGGAAGCTGGTCCGAGGGGACCCCCTGTACTCCCTTCACTCTGACCGCTGCAGGCAAGATCGCTCTGTCTCGCCCTGCCCCGCCACTGCTGGAACTCGGTCAAGTCTTTCCCGGTGCAGTCATGGTGTGTCCCGGTTAGCTTGTTTAACGCACATGAGCAAGGCATCACAGCAGACTGCAAGCACTCGTCAAGCGGTGGGACTGGGGGCGTCTCGGGGGCCACCACAGCACAGACACGAGGGCTACAGTGTGAGGGGGCGGCTGCTGGGAACCCCAAAACAGAACAGAGAGGAAGTGCACTGGGATGGGGGGGTTGGGGCAGTGAGCCCTGCCAAGCGAGCCAGGCGATGTCTGACGCAGGACCACACCACGAGTTTCCAGGACACGAGGGGACAGGTGGCTGCGGCTGGCCACAGGCCCGGGGAGTGAGGGGGCAGGGGGCAGCCTCAGGCCGGGCCACCTGGGGCGCCCCTCGCTACCTTCAGCGCCGGCGTCTTCCGCTTCAGGCCGCTGTTGTCGCTGCTCTTGTCCGAGTCCGAGTCGCTCTCCATTCTGTCACTGGCGGCTGCGGCCGTCACGGCGGTCACGGCCATGACCCCCCGCTCCTCATCGTCCGAGTCCGAGTCGCTCCTGCCCGCAGGGTCGGCCTCGGGGGCCTCGCTGTCTGAAGAGCTCACGGGCTGCGAGGCAGAGCCGACCAGTCACCACACTGCCTGGAGGGGTGCACCTTTCCCTGAGGTGGCCTGAAACGTTGGGGTCCCCTGACCTGAGGCCCCCACATGCTGGAGAAGGGACCGAGATGAACAGATCTATAGGCAATTGCTGTGTTCCAGCCTTGGGACCTCAGTCCCCCTCCTCCAGGCTCAGTGTCCACATCCAAGCAATGGGTACAGCACCCAAGGTAGTTCATGAGGCACATTGGACAGTGGTCAGGCGAGTCTGGAAGACCTCCCCGAAATGCGGCTGTTAGCCTAGCTCCCGAAGAGGACCCCACCCCAGCACAGGATCCCAGGGCCGCGAGTTCCTGTGCCACTTCAACACCAAGAAGGCCTGCCCAGGGGGTTACAGCCCCTTGACACACACCCCTCAGCACCCCGAGTCTGCAGTTGCCGCCCAGGCTTGGGCAGGGTGGGTCCCCACTCCCCTCGCCCCTGGAAACTGACCAGCAGCCACCACAGCCATGGGAACTGATCAATATGACTCCCAATCATTGATAGGTGGAAGGGACCGGTGGCATTCAGGGGTGGGCAGGACATCCTGTCCACGGTGCAGCAAGGGGTACGGGGCACAGGGAACTGGAGCAGAGGTGGCGTGACGAGGTCCCTCAGCATCTGGGAGAGGTCAGCACAGCTGGGACGTGGACACCAGCCCCCAGGTGGCTCAAGTTTCGGGGAGCAACGGGGATGAGCGAGCCCCGGCTGTTTTCAACCATCACCAAGCGACTTACCCCAACACAACTAACAAAACACCTGCTGTGGCCTACAGGTGCCCGCCCTGGGCCAGCTCCCAGCCTCACAGCGACCCAGAGCACCCAGCACCCAGCCCAGCCACCTCCACAGGTCCAATCGGCCCATGTCTTCCCACGTGACCTCGTCTCCCAGGTAACAGCTCTTTTTTTTTTTTTTTTTTTGAAGAGATGTTGCTGGACATTCGTAACGGGATGCTACTGATAAAAAAGCAAAGTGGAGGAGGGGAGCCCAGCACAATGGCTCAACTGGCTTACCCTCCCACTGCAAGTGCCAGGATCCCATATGGGTGCCAATTTGTGTCCCAGCTATCCCACTTCCCATCCAGCACCCTGCCTGTGGCCTGGGAAAGAAGTGGAGGACGGCCCAAAGCCTTGGGATCCTGCACCCGCGTGGGAGACCCAGAAGAGGTTCCAGGCTTTGGATCAGCTCAGCTCTGGCTATTGTGGCCATTTGGGGAGTGAGCCAGCAGACAGAAGATCTTTCTCTCTGTAAATCTGCCTTTCTAATATAAATGAATCTTTAAAGCAGACTTCTCAGTTCTCGTGGCACGGACCCGCGAGGCCCCACCCTGTCGTTGCGGGCAGTGCCTGCTCAGCACATCTCCGGGGCGAGAGACGCGGCGAGCCTGGGACGTCACTTCTGAACCTGTGAACAGCTCCTGACGCTGTGAGCCCTTGCTCCAAGCCGACAGCGGCCAGTTTAGGGACAGTTTATGACGGAACCACGGGGCCGGCGCTGCGATATGGTAGCCAGGCTGCCACCTGAGACACCCGTATCGGAATGCCAGCTGTAGTCCTGGCTGCTCCCCTCCCGATTCAGCTGCAGACGCCCCCCATGGGAGCCCCTGCCAGCCACAGGGGAGACCCGAACGGAGTTCCAGGCTCCTGGTGGTGGCTTGGTCCGGCCCCAGCCCTTCCGGCTACCAGGAGAGTGAAGCAGTGTACGCAAGATCTCTCCGTAGTTGCCTTTCTTCCTTTTTTTTTTTTAAAGGTAGATCAAATGCAATTGAGAGAAAGAGATAGAAAGATCTTCCATCTGCTGATTGAACCCCAAGTAGCCGCACTGGCCAGAGCTGAGCCGAACTGAAGCCAGGAGCCTCTTCTGGGTCTCCCATGCAAGTACAGGGCCCCAAGGCATTTTTTTTCCCCAAAGATTTATTTATTTTTATTGGAAAGGCAGATACACAGAGAGGAGGAGAGACAGAGAGGAAGATCTTCTGTCTGATGGTTCACTCTCCAAGTGGCCACAACAGACGGAGCTGAGACAATCCAAAGCCAGGAGTCTCCTCCGGGTCTCCCACGCCTGGTATGCACTGGGATCTCCTAGGGGCGCCGGTTCTAACCATGGCTGCCCCGCTTCCCATCCAGCTCCCAGCCTGTGGCCTGGGAAAGCGGTGGAGGACGGCCCAAAGAGAGAGAATCAACAGATGGAGTCTCTCCTCTTTATGACTTTCCATTAAAAATAAACAAATCTTAAACACAAGCAAACAAACAAAACAACTGTCAACTTCCAACCTCTCCAAAACCTTCCCTAGCCTCGGGGCCGATTTACAGGATTGCCTCATCCAGGTCCCAGGGTTCCAGTTTCTTTCCCTGGAAGACAGGCCTCTGCACGGTAGGCGGCCAGCCCGGCTGCGGGCGCCCAATAAAATATTACGGGGCAGAGCGATGATTCAGCCACAGGTTCCAGGCCAAGACCGTAACCCAAGCCCAGAAGGACCGTGAGTGCCTCAACTTCCGCCAGAACATTCAGCTCAGCAAAGCGCCCAGACACACACCGATGTGAGACCACGGAGAGTCTGTCTCTCAGGTCTTCCCGGGGTGCTCAAACACCCCCCACACCCTGACATGCAGGTCCCAGACACCCACCACACACACCAGGACACACGGCATGAGACACTGCATGAAGGACGCCAGAATCCTGGACCATGAGCTCTCATGGGCAAGCCCTGCATCCCAGCCATGCCAGGCCCACGCGTGCCACACCACGGGGAGAGATGCCCACATGACAAGGCCTCTGCCTCACAGCCAGGCCGCCCCGGGACCCCAGGTGGCCAGGCAGGAACGGGCACCACAAACCCACACAATGCCAACGCCCGTGCCAGGCACCCCCGTCCACCTTGCGTCAGCCTCATTTCCACTTTCTCAGTGCACCCGCACCCCCCCAACTTTACAAGGACACTCTCAACTAGAGTATCCACACGCCGCCTCCTTCGCGCCCCCCAACATCAGAGTCACGTGGACAGTTTTCTAGGAACTCCAATGGTATTCTGGGACACCAACACGGGCCCACGTCACAACCACAGGAGTGTGGCGAGCCTGTGCTGCCAGAGGCGCCCCTAGCCCTCCCCGGCCCGGCGCTCACCGGAGGGGCACTGTAGCTGGCATGTGGATTGTTCTGGATCTCCCAAAGCCCCTCGTTGAAGCCTTTCCTCTTGTTGGGCTTGCCGTACTTGTCCTTGCACTTGTCGTAGGGGAACAGGTCCTTGGGCCCCAGGAAAGCTCTAGAAGGGGACGAAGCGGCAGGGTTGGTCCAAAGCGAACTGGGGCCGCCACCCACCTACCCACCCACCGGCAAGTGAGCCCTGGCTGGGGACACTTACGTTTCGTGGGTGCCGAAGAAGAAGATGGGGTATTTGTTGGGAGGGGGCTTCACCGCACCGTCGGCAATCTCATCAATCTGCAGAGAGGCAGTGGGGACGGCTGGGGTGAGCAGGCGGCCTCACACCTCCACCTAGCCCACGATACACCCACAGAAAGCACGTAGGGAGACTGGTCTTCACCCCAGAGCCCCCTCTTTCTAACCAGCAATCCAGCCTGTCTGGAGCAAGCCCCGACCCCCCCACACCCAGGGTACCCCCCGATGCCCAAGCAGGTACTTGACCTGAGCCAATATGGACCCATGAAGCCACCAACGGGAAGCGAGGAGGGTGCCAAGCTCAGCTTCTAGGAGCTGTGGGGCCCCTCACCGGGGGAACCCCTGCAGCCCAGAGGAGCTGAGGGGGGCAGGCTCCCCCCACCAAGGATGCTGCCAGAAGCTCCCAGGGCTGCAGAGCGTGGGGAGTGGGCTGCAGGAGCCAGGCCCAGAGCATCCAGGAAGTCCCACCCTCTCCCTGCAGCCCCATGGGCTGCGGCAGCTGTCAGTCACTCCCACCCTCCACTTCCAATCAGGTGCTTGGAAACGTTCTGGGCTCCAGAGGAAGGGGGCGGCAGGGAAGACACGAGCGAAGCTGCTGCGAACTTTCCCTGCTCTGGTCAGCTCTCCTCTCCACAGGAGCACGGCCAGGCGGGGTGCGCTCCCTGCACCCCCATCTTCAGCGCTGCCCCTGCACTGGCACAGCCCCCTGGAGGTGGGCGGGCAGCGGCCACGGCCTCCCCGGACCCAGCCCAGTGCGCCTGCCTTCTCCTCACATCTGCTGAGCTGCACGCTGGGGCATCCCAGGCTCTGCCCGGCGTGCTTAGGGCACGCTTCTCCTGGATCCCGGGGTGCCTCCGGGGCACGGCTTCTCCTCCCGGGACCCGCCCCTGATCCTTGGCCACCCGCTGCACTAGCTCCCCAGGCCACACTTCCTGTGCAGGTTGGAGTCTCCTCCCATCCTGCACCCCAACTTTCACCAGCCTCTGCCCCTGCCGGACTTGGGGGACAGGGAGGAACAAACCTGAACCCTCAACTGGGCAACTGCCCTACGGTCCTGGAATTCCATCCCGGGAGAATCGGGGACCCCCCGCCCCGACCCCCAGCTTCCTCCGGAGGGGGACGCTCACAGAACGCCGCGGTCCAGGTGTAAACCGCATCCCAGCTCAGCTCTTCCCCTCCCAAACTTCTTCAGTCTCCCCCAGACCCCTCATTTACACATCCAGGGGTCGTCCGCTGCAAGCCCCATGACCCCTCCCCAACACAGCCGGGGACAGCGTGGCCTCCGGGGGGCGGTGTGTGTGGGGGGGACCCCGAAGTCGCCTCCCGTCCCAGGGGACCACGCTCCTCCAGTCACAACTTCTCTCTCCAGCTCCCCCTCAGAACCCACCCCATGCCCCCCTCAAACCCTGCTGCATCTCAGAGCACCCCGAATTCCAGAGTTCCCTCGGACCCTCAGAACGCCCCCCAATCACACGCACGGAACCCCCAAGCACGGCTTCCTCACGCAATGATCCCCGGCGCCACCGCAGCTCCCTGGGACCCCCCGAAGCCCCACAAAGGCTCCCCGAGTGGGATGCGACCCTGAACCACCCCCTCCTCACAAAGGAGCCCCGAGTGGGGTGCGACCCCGAACCCCCCCACAAAGGAGCCCCGAGTGCGGAGGGGGGGACCCCATGCCCCACCCCCCGCCCCCCGAGCGCGGCCTCACCCGGGCGGGCCAGTGCGGGTAGCCCTTCATCTTTGCGAACACCAAGTCCCCGGGCTTGAAGGCGTAGGGCATGGTGGCGGCGGGAGGCCCAGGCCGCGGAGCGCGGCGGCGGAGGCGGCGGGAGGAGAAGCCGGGGGCGGGAGCGGGACGCCGGGGGCGGGGGCGGCCGTCGGGGCAGCCGGCCGGCGCCTACTTATTGGGCTCAGGGCAGCCGGAAGTCCCGCCCTTCGGTGCTCATTAGCCGGAGAGGCTGTCGCTCCAAACCACGTGCGAGGGGACAGAGAAGCGCGGGGACCAATGAGGAGAGGGGTTGGAGACGAGCGAGCTAACGGGATTGGATAACGGGGCCCAGAGGCAAGGGGCGTGACCCGGAGGCCTAAAGGGAGGGGGCGGAGGTTAGCGGAGGTGAAAGGGGAGAGGTGGGAGGAGGGAGAAGTGAGGAGCGGGAGGCGGGACGTAGGGCGCCGCGGGAGGAGGGGCTTCAAGGAGGGAGCTCGCGATTGGCTCCTCGAGGTACAGCTGAACCAATCAGAGGAGAGGGCGGGATATGGTACGCTAGCCTTCCCCACCACCACCGTGGAGGAGGGGCTTTAGGAAAGGCGTGCATGCCATTGGATGTCGTGAGAGAAGCGTCGGCAGGCAGTGAAGCGGACATTGGCTATCACGGGTGGGGAGGCGGTGCTTAGGAGGCGCCTGGTTATTGGTTGATCGCAGAGGAGAGGCTGCAACTCAAAACAGCGATGAGCCAGTTAGGGGCTCGCGGGGGCGGGACCTAGAGCGAGGGGCGGGGCTAGCGGAGCTTTTAGGATCAACAGCTGCAAGATGTCCCCAAAACACTCCTTGTTGCTGTTGTGCGTTTATGCAAATGAAAGGAGTCCGTTCTGCGGACAACCTGGGTCCCCGGCCGGAGGGATGTCAGCTCCTCGCTCCCCACCCCAAGAAACTCACACTCAACCATCAGTCAACGCAGGTGCTCATGCATTGTTCTTTCAAGATTTATTTCATTGCGAAGTCAGGCATACGGACAGGACGGGAGACAGGAAGATCTTCCGTCTGCTGATTCACTCCCCAAGTGGCCCTGGAGCTGAGCTGAGCTGATCTGAAGTCAGGAGCCAGGAGTTTCTTTGGGGTCTCCCACGCGGGTGCAGGGTCCCAAGGCTTTGGGCCGTCCTCCACTGCTTTCCCAGGCCACAGGCAGGGAGCTGGGTGGGAAGTGGAGCAGCTGGGACATGAACTGGCGCCCATATGGGATCCCGGACCATGCAAGGCAAGGACTTGAGGCACTAGGCTACCCCACCGGGCCCATCTGGAGTATCTTACAGTGCATCTCTGATGTAAACTCTCCCCCAGATACCTCAGATTGCATCTGAGGCCTAATAAAAACCTATCATCACACATATCACGCCATTATGGCACCCCCTGAGAATTACTAACGTGGGTCTGTAGCGAAGCCAGTGACAGCAGCACCTGCCTGGTGCGAGCCCGTTTGGAGGTTTATTCTGGGGATGCCCCACTTCGGAGCCAGCTTCTTCTGCCTGTGCTTGTTGCCCACAAGCCCCTTTTTTTTTTTTTGCCCAGGCCGACTTTGGGCTGGGTGGTACTCCTCCACAGCTGCTACTCCTTTACAGACATAGCGGATGCTTCCCTGATCCCTTCTCCTTGGCTTGCGGGCCTACGTGCCCCTCAAGGTTCCACAGCTCCCAGAACCTTCTCCACAGGCTTGCCTGGGACACGTGGGGACGCCGACCATGGCCAAGATGGGGGGGACGCCGACCATGGCCAAGATGGGGGGATGCCGACCATGGCCAAGATGGGGGGGACGCCGACTGTGGCCAAGATGGGGGGGACGCCCTCCGTGGCCAACATGGGGGTCCCCCTGCACGTTGCGTGGGGATTTTATGATGTAAGGGGAACTTCTGAGCGCCTTCTCTTTGGGGATCAGCCGGTTTCACCCGCTTGGAGAAAACGCCCAGTTCAGTGAAGGCGATGAGGAGATATGCAGAGGCGCCATCGCCGCCCGGAGCGGGAAACGCGCCCTTGTCGCCACGGCAACCGCGCTCGTCGCCATGGCAACAGAGGCCGGAAGCACCACCGAGACGCGGCTGGCGGCGTCCAGAGAGGCCGCCACGGGGTAAGCCGATCGATTGTCACGTGAGGGCGTGTGTGTGTGTGAGTGAATGCGCGTGTGTGCGCGCGCGCGCGCCCGGGGGTGGGGGCGTGAGGGCGGGACTTCCGGCGCCGCTCGGTATTTTCTTTCCGGTGGCTGGCGCCCGTCGGCCCCTCCCTGCCCGGGCCCTGCGCCCCCTCCCCCGCCCGCCGCGGCCCACCCCCCCCGCCGCCGCCGGGCCCCCCGAAAAAGACAACCAACATGAAGAAATTCTTCCAGGAGATCAAAGCTGACATCAAGTTCAAGAGCGCGGGGCCCGGCCAGAAGCTCACAGACCCCGTGGGGTAGGTGCGGAGGTGGACGGGTTCGCGGGGCACCCCGTGTTTGTTTTTTGGGGGGCTGGGAGTGGGCGGTGGAGTGGGGTCCCCCCCGAGAGCAGAGGGCCGCCCCGGAGCCGGGGGGCGGGGCCGAGCCGGGCCTGGGCGGGGGTGGGGGAGCCTGGCCCGAGGGGCGGGATTTGGGGTTCCGTGGGATGGGACTGTCTCGGGGGGCGGAGCGTGGTTGGGGGGCGGCCCGGAGCAGAAGTGAGCTGGAGATGGGGAGGGGAGAGATGTGGGGGTGCTGGTGGGGGCAGGTGAGGCGGAGGGTCGTGTTTTGGGGTTCTGTGGGATGGGACGGTGGGGGGGGGCGGCCCGGAGCTGAAGTGAGCTGGAGATGGGGAGGTGAGAGGTGTTGGGGTGCAGGTAGGGCAGGCGGGCCAGGCTTTGGGGTTCCATGGGATGGGACGATCTGGGGAGGTCAGTAGAGTGTGGGAGGTGGAGCGTCTAGAGTTGGAGGGCCGGCTGGAGCCAAGGTAAACTGGTAGAGGGGAAGGAGGGATGTTGGGGTGCAGGGAGGGCTGAGGCGCGAGGGGATGGCCAAGCTGGGGGGCAGGGCCTTGCATGCATTGTGCAAGCTGTGCAGTGGGATGGAAAAGGACTGTGGACCTATCTTACTGATGGAGGCTCGGGGGACCCCGGTGGTCCCCCACCCCTGTGTCAGGGCACTATGGTGGCCATGGGGTCCCGGCCGACCCTGGCAGGTTTGAGGGTGTCTGTATGAGAGAGAGAGGCAGGGGCAGGCATCTGGCCTCATGGAAAGCCAGTCATATGTGTGTCCCCTTCTCCCTTCACTGTCCAGGGAGAAGTCCCCCCGAGAGAAGAGTGACCAGCTGGCTGTGAGGCAGCCGCGCCAGGGACCCACTGATGAAGTGCAGATGGCAGCTGCCGCCGCCCTGGCCCGGCTGGAGCAGAAGCAGCCCAAGGCCCGGGGCCCCACATCGCAGGACGCCATCCGGAACCTGGGTGAGCTGGGGGCACCCGGCCTCGGGTGTGGGGACCTGGCTGCGGGGAAGTCGGGGCACAGTGCTTGCTGCCGAGCCTCACCATGCACCCTTCTCTGCTCGTTTCATCTACCAGTGAGGAAGGAACTGCAAGCCGAGGTCACCCTCCCTGGGAGCCCCGAGACCCCAGGGAGTAACACGGTAAGACCCTCCACTGGCGGCAGTAAGCAGCAGCCTGCGAAGGCGGACTGACCCCGTGAAGGGCTCTGCAAGCCAGGGCAGAACCCTGGACCTGTCACCTATGTTTGGGGCAGCCAGGAAGGGCCAGCCCAGCCCTGAAACTGGACTTACTCTTCGGTGGCTCGGGGCTTGCTCCCCGAGGTTGTGCAGTTCTTGTTTCAAACCGAGGTTGTGAGGGGGTGAAGCCAGCAGCCGTGGCCTGTTCCAGGGCTGGGTGCGAACTGCCCCTCCACGCTGCCCCTCCTCCTGCCCACGTGGGTGGACGCTGAGGTGGTACAGTCCGGGAGGCCTCCTTGGAGTAGATGGGCTGGAAAATGGAGCTTGGTCTAAAGGGTGTCCCGGGTAGAACACCTGAATAACTGCCCTGAGAAGTGCGTGGAGAGACAGAGAGAGAAAGGTCGGGACTTACCCAGGGTCCCATGCTCCTGACTGGCCACAGTCAGGTAGCAACTGCTGCAGGGGGGTGCCCCTTCCCTGAGGACCCCCCATTGAAGGAGGGAGCGGCTCAGTGGGTCGGGTGACTTGGGGCGGCCTACAGAAGTGGAGTCAACCGTAAGAACCCACTTGGGTCTGTGGCTCAGGGTGGCCTCTGCCCGCAGGCCTGGCTCAGGCAGGCACCGTCTCTCCACAGATGGCCGAGGTCCAAGAAGAAGGCTCCGGGCCCCTGGCCGTCCCTGGCGTGTTCTTCACCTGCCCACTCACGGGGGCCACCCTGAGCAGGGAGCAGCGGGAGGCTGGCATCAGGGAGGCCATTGTATCGGTGAGCCGTGGAGCCCCTTGACAGCCCTGGAAGCCTGGGTGGGCACAGAGCGCCGACTTCCCCCAGGGGCGATGGCCCCATGTGGGACACGAGACACAACCCCTGTCCCCAGTGTCAGTCACATGGGTAGGATGGCCGCGGTGGCTCCCACCTGCCCCGTCAGCCCTCCCCCGAGTGAGCATACAGCAGTTGCCATGTGTGTGCATGGGCGCGTGTGGGTGTCTGCCTGGCTGCGTGTATGTGTGTGGTTTGTCCTCCTGCCCAGGTCGGCCAGGTGTTAGGGTTGTTGCCCATGCACTCCGCCCCGTGTCCCCCTGGGCCCCTGCAGGGGGAGTTGAGCGTCCTGTTGTTGAGGCCCCACTGGTCCGCGTTCTGTGTCTTAGGGAGACCCTGTGTGCCACCTTGTAGCTATTATGTCGTATCAGAGGCAGGTCACTTTCTGAAGCAAAGGGGCCCGTCTTAGCTCAGCCTTGGTGATCTGAGGGCCACTGCAGGACGTGGCCTCTGGCACGAGGCCATCGCGTGGGCAGAGGCCCAGGGCAGGAGACCCATGGTCTCGCCTCCTGGGACACCCACATGGTTCCATCTGGGCCCTCCCAAGTGAACCTCTGGGCTCATTCCCTCTAGAGCTCCCCCTGCAGGCTGGATTCTGGGGTTTCCTCCCAGGATTTGGCAGTCTCAACCCCTGCTCTGAGTTTGGGGCCGGCCATTCCAAAGTCAGCCTCCGTGGGTTTGGGTTCCGCCTGGGATAGCCTATTGCTTATGTCCTTGCATGTCCCACACCTGGGTCTCTTCGCCGCCATGTGAGTGTGGCTGTGCTGGTCCTCACCTCGGTGTCACCCCCTTCCCATGGCCTCTTGGCACTTGCCGCTTCCTGTGCCCCAGCAGCCGAGGTGTGCCCTGTCCATGTCGAGAGCTGGCAGCTGAGCTGCTAGGAGGTATCAGATGGACAGCAGCTTCCCAGGAGGCCAGGTCCCTGGTGGCCAGTTCTGAGCCCACCCATGCCCGCTGGGGACACTGCAGCAGCGACCCCTCCCCTCCCACAGGGTGGGAGCAGGTGGGCTGCTGGGGCCCCAGCTGCCGTGTCATGCCACACGTCTAGAGTCACAGATCTTTCATCTGTCGCTTGTCTGCACCTGGGCCCACGTGTGCCCATGTGAGTGACTTGTGGCCACCCAGTGGTATCATCACACAATGTGCCCAGCAGGGCTGTGGCGGCTGGCAGCGTGTTCGTCCAGGCTGCTGTGAATGAATGCGATGGGTGAGATCGGGTCCTCAGGCCGATCTTTGAGATCCAGCCTAGTGTGCGTGTCAGCTCGGGCCACTCCTGGGGAATCTGTGGCCACCTCGCTGGAGGGCCCATCCGAGGCCTCACTGCCCTTCCCGCCCGTGGGGTGGGGTGGGAGTGGGTGGAGGTGCCCAAGTCCCCGCAGGCACCTGCTTGCTCACCAGTGCCAGGCATGTCCGTGTCCACACGCGTGTGTCTGGCCCAGCTGCAGAGCGTCATCACTGCCTTTCCCCCGTGGGGAGGGTTTCCAGTGAACCCACCTGTCCCCCCGGCCCGCCCCAGCACTTCTCCACAGACCCAGTCGCCGCGTCCATCATGAAGATACACACATTCAACAAAGACCGGGAGCGGGTGAAGCTGGGAGTGGACACCATCGCCAAGTGAGTGGCACCCCCCCACGGGCCATGCACCCCCACCCCCGCTGCCAGGCCAGCATCAGTCGCCCCCTCTAGCCTCCCCACAGAGAGGTGAGGATTGGGGTGATGCTGAGCTGGGAGACCTCAGCACAGGGGCTGGAACTCAGTGCACCCATCTCATCCCGAAGGAATTTAAGGGGTGTCAGAGGGGTGCCCAGCCCTGCCCTCCCAGGAGCCAGGGTCTGAGGGCACAGTGTCACCTGACCTGGGAGCACCTGCCAGCCCTGGGCCCTTATTCTGCCTTTTGTATGCCAGGGGCTCAAGTTTGTGAGGACAGGAAGGGCAACAGGGCTGGGCACAGCAAGGATCCTTCCCATGGGCCCTGTGGGCCGTCCCAGGGCTGGTTTCCAACTAGCTTGTGCCTTTGGAAGAGCTTAAGCTACAGGCTAGCGGGTAAAGTCACCGCTTACGTTACCAGCATGTAAATGCTATTCATGGCCCAGCTGCTCCATTTCCCATCAGCCCCCTGCCTGTGGCCTGGGAAAAGCAATAGAGGACGGCCCAAAGCCTTGGGACCCTGCACTCGCCTGGAAGACCCTGGGGGAAGCTCCTGGTCTCCGGACTTCAGGTCGGCTCAGCTCTGGCCTTCACAAGCATTTATCGAATGAACCAGAGGATGGAAGCTCTTTGTCCCTCTTCCCTGCCCTTTCTTTCAAATTTTGAGAGAGGGGGAAAAAAAAAAAAAACTTAAAGAGGCAAAGAGAAATTTTCCCATTTGCTGTTTCATTCCTACAACAGTCAGGGCTGTGCCAGGCTGAATTCCATCCGGGTCTTTCTCCCACATGGGTGACGGGGAGCCAAGCGCTCCAGCCTCCGCCTGCTACCCGTGAGGCTGCGCATGAGCAGGGAGCTGGGCCCTGAGCCTAGCAGTGATGGCAGGCGGCAGGTGTTTCATCCGCTGAGCCAAGCCCCCACCCCAGGGCCTCCCCTTCTTACTGCCAGGCTGTCTCCCCTTGGGCCCCCAGAGTGTGCCTCTCCGCTCCCCTACCCGCTACCTTTCTCCCCTGCCCTCTCCTCTCCCCTACCTGTTGTCCAGGTACCTGGACAACATCCACTTACACCCAGAAGAAGAGAAGTACCGCAAGATCAAGCTGCACAACAAGGTGTTCCAGGTGAGGCTGCCCTACCAGGATCCGGGGTGGGCATGGCCCCACTGGCCCCGACTGGGCACACGGGGCCGGGCACGGGCCCCCTTCCCTGGGAAGAGCCCAGACGAGCCGCGCCGACCCCGCCTCACAGCAGCTCCTGTGCAGGCCGGGGGCCTGGACCACCCCTTACTGCCCGCACAGCTGGAGGCACAGCCCCTGCCCCAGCAATCGCCGAGGGCCGTGGCCCCCTGAGACCTCCCGTTCTCTCCCAGGAGCGCATCAACTGCCTGGAAGGGACCCACGAGTTTTTCGAGGCCATCGGGTTCCAGAAGAAACTGCTCCCAGTCCCCGACCAAGGTAAGGCGAAGAGGACGGAGGATTCAGGAGTCGGGGCTGGGTGAGGCGCAGGGGACATAAGGGGTCGGGGGACCCCAGCGGGGCTTCTCCCCACATGGCTGCTGTGCCCATCACAGAGGCCCACGAAGAGTTCTACGTGCTGAGCGAGGCGGCGCTGGCGCAGCCCCAGAGCCTCGAGAGGCACAAGGAGCAGCTGCTGGCGGCCGAGCCCGTGCGGGCCACGCTGCACCGGCAGCGGCGCGTCTTCCGGCCCTCGCCCCTGGCCTCCCAGTTCGACCTGCCCGCGGACTTCTTCAACCGCACGGCCGAAGAAATCAAGCGGGAGCAGAAGCTCCGGTCGGATGCGGTGGAGCGGCTGAGCATGCTGCGGACCAAAGCCATGCGGGAGAAGGAGGAGCAGCGGGAGCTGCGCAAATACACGTTCACGCTGCTGCGTGTGCGCCTCCCTGACGGCTGCCTGCTGCAAGGTGGGCCTCGGGCGGCTGCTGGGGGGCAGCCTGGAGCCCAGGGCCGGGGCGGGCCCTGGGGTCCTGTGTGAGTCCAGGTGGGGCCGAGGTCCAGGGGTCTGTGTGTGAGCCCCGGCGGGGTCGGGGGTCTGTTTGTGTGTGCGCCCTGTGAGTTGGCTGGCCCTGACGGGGTACCTCCCCACCCCCCAACTCCCCAGGGACCTTCTACGCACGGGAGCGACTGGCAGCATTGTACGCCTTTGTACGGGAGGCCCTGGACAACGACTGGCTGCCCTTTGAGCTGTTGGCCTCGGGAGGGCAGAAGCTGTCGGAGGACGATGACCTGGCCTTGAACGAGTGTGGGCTGGTGAGTGCCCAGGGGAGAGACGGGTAGGGGTCCTGGCCCGGGGCTGGACAGGTGTGGGGGTCCCAGGCAGGCTGCCTGCTTCCAGCAATGCTGTGGCCCCAGTCTAGTCCTGAGGGGTGGGGCCTTGCTGGGTTCCACGGCGGTGAGGTGACCCCCACCCCGACCCACAGGTGCCCTCGGCGCTCCTGACCTTCTCCTGGGACCCTGCTGTGCTGGAGGACCTCAGGGCCGCGGGGGCTGAGCCCCAGACCTCTGTGCTCAAGGCCGAGCTCCTGGCAAGCATGGAGCGGCTCTTGTGAGGGGCAGTCAGCCTCGGCCTCCGTTCCGCGCCCAGTCCCTCCACCTCCTCTGCAGAGCCCTCCCAGGTGCCCACGACCCATCTGTGGTCCCAGGGAGGCCGCAGCCAGGAGGCAGCACCGAGCCCACCCTCTCCAGCAGCTTTGCACTGACCATCCCGGTAGGCAGGGAGCCTGGGCCGCGCGCGGGCAGTTAGGGGCTGGCCCTGTGCCGTGGGTGAGTCACAGATCCCGAACTCCCACCTGGAGCCTGAATAAATAGGACGTTGGAACGTGGTCTGTGTGGACCTGACATGGCTGCCACCCTGCTCAGCTGCCTGGCAGGTGTTATCGCCTCACGGCTGGTTGGCTTTGTGTGACCTTGGCCCCGTGAGTGGCCTAACTGTGAACTCAGTGGACCCAGTGAAGGACACGACCAGGAGAGTGATGGGGCAGCTTTCCCAGGAACTTGGGGAGATGGAGGCCTGGCATGCCCCCAGCTCACAGGGCCTACATCCGGGGCCCTCCACCCTGTGCAGTCGGTCCCCCAGCTCCTGCCCCATGGAGACAGGGAGACTCAAACCCAGATTTTTTTTTCAAGATTTATTTATTGGAATGCTGGAGTTACAGAGAGGGACCCAGACCTTGCATCTGCTGGCCCACTCCCATGTCAGTGTGTGCGTGCGTGTGTGTGTGTGTGAGACCCCAGCAGGGCAGCTGGGACTTGAATTCATGCCCATGCAGGAGGCCAGGGTGGGGGGTGTTGGTGCCCCCTGCCATGCTGGCCCCACGCCCAAGGGGTCTCCTGGGCAGACATTCCTACAGTACCTCAGGCCTGCACACCCCCACCCGCCTTCCTTCTGGCAACTTGGCCTTCCATGCTCCTGGCTGCCATGTGACACCGTGACACTGGGTCACGAGATCGGGGCGGGGGTGTGACACAGAAGACCCCCCAGTCCCATCTGGGCCTGTCTGGGGGGACACGGGAGCCCAGGTGGGGGAGGGGGTGGGGCTCCAGATGCGACTACTGCTTTAGATGAGTCCCCCACCTTTCCCCCTGGACGGAGAGCAGAGAGGCACATGGCTGGAGCCAGGGAAGCGGTTTATACATGTCCTGGTGGCCCAGGGGTCGCCACAGGCTCCGGGCTTCAATTCATTGACAAGCATTCGATCTGGCGCGGCTCGCAAGCCGCTCACCACTTTTCAGTAATGCTTTACCAGAGGGCAGATTAACACGCGCTTCAGAGGGAGGGCTGGGGATTTGTACAAGTGTCGGACAGACTAATCAAACATCCTATATAGAACTTTCCAGACCCCGGGGAGGTCCACGAAGCAGGACAAAGTGCTCTTTACACAGGAGTCGGCAGGGCCTTCAAGTATCTGACCCCAGTCGCTGATGGCTGGGTGCGGGCTGGGCGCTCACGAGGCGCTGAGCAGGCCGGCGGGCAGGGCGCTCTCAGCAGCGTCCATCCCCACGGCGCCCCCTGCCCCGGCAGTGGTTCCGCACGGGACCCCTGGAAGGGGAGGAGGGCGTGGTCTTTGGCCTGCCGTGTCCACAGGCTCCTTGGCCGGGGGCCGCTGCCAGCTCCCCCCCAGGGATCAGGAGCCCTTCTCACCCGCAGCGTCCGGGACCTCCACAATCATGCAGTCACCATCCTCCTCCTCTTCCTCCTCCGTGTCCGCCTGGAAGCCATCCATGTCCGCAGCCCCGACCTGCAGGTGAGACCTGGCAGGTGACGTGGGTGTGGCTGCGCCTGGGGCGAGTGGGCCGCTTCGGGAGGCCCCCAGGGAGTGTCCCTTCCCTCCCTCTGGGGACAGAGTCTCCAGCCACCCCAGGGGCATCCCGTGCAGCTATGCAGAGCTCGTCACCCGGCTGCCCTTGAGCTACTGGCCTTGGCGGTGAGCAGCACCCCTCCTGCTTGGGCGCGTGCACAGCCACGCGTGGGCTGGGACAGAGGGCAGAAGGCTTGCAGAAGCAGGGTCTACCGCCTACTGGTTGCCCTGTCACTTCATCGTCACGGGCCCCTTCCCTTGCTGCCGTGGCCAGGTGCAAGACGGTGCCCAGGCCAGCAGGGGACACTCCTTGTCCTCTGGGGAACGGGCCACAAGGGTCAGCTTTGCCCACGGGTCCTGGACCCCTGCCTGCCAGTGTGGTGGGCACAGGTCAGGCCAGTTTTCCATGGGCAAAGCCTGGGCTTCTTGCGCCTCACGGCCCAGGCAGGTGGGCACAAGGATGAGCTGCCCCATGCCAGGAGCTGTCTGCAGCGGCTCATGACCTCACCGGGGACACCTGCCTGGGGGTGGGGGGACAGTGGCCCCCTGGCACCCCTGAGTTTGTCCTGGAGACAGGAATGAGTTGCTCCTGCCACCCATGCCCACTGCGGATTCCTTAGAGCTGCCGTGCCAGGGCGCTGGAGCCTTGAACCAGACCCGCCTTGACTGTGAGCTGACTAAAGCTCGCTTCCTCGTAGGTTCCGTGACAACGCTGAAGATGAGTGGTTCTGCATCCCCCCAATTCCAACAGGAACCCTGACCTGCTGTGTGTGTGTGTGTGTGTGGGGGGAGGTCAGGCCCCCTAGGGCCACAGGTCCCGGGGCCACAAACCCTGCCTTTCGCAGTGGCCCCTACGGGTGGGTGGAACGACCGTCAGGATTCACTCCTGGGGCTCAGCACGGCTTTGGGGAGAGCTGGGCAAGGCGCCCCAGTGGTGCACCTCCCAGGCCTGGGCCTCTTCGGGGCCAGTGTGGCCAGCTGCGCCTGCAGTCAGTCCGTAAGGACAGGAGTGGACGCTGGCCACACATGCCCAAAGGCGCCTGGGCCTGCCTCGCTCAGGGCCCGGCACGGCATCTGGGTCCCCCACAGGGATGGCAGGCGCCCCTGCGATGCGGACGCCGTGGCGGGGGTCTCCGGGTGCTCACCGTCCCCCACAGGGATGGCAGGCGCCCCTGCGATGCGGACGCTGTGGCGGGGGTCTCCGGGTGCTCACCTGGCCGTCATGCCGGCGCTTCTTCATGAACTGGGTGATGCACATGCTGCCAGCCGACTTCCTCTTGAGTGGGACGGGCGTCCCCTGGGCGGGCCCAGGGGCGGGCGGCACGCCCCCGCTGTCCTCTCGGGGGGCAGAGGGCACGGCGGTGACGTAGCTCCAGCGGCAGGGCACGGGCAGCTGCTCCCGGTCGAAGCTCCTGAGCACCTGTGGGTGCACGTACCAGCACATGCGGAAGTCGGGCCTCTTCTCGTACACCGAGTTCTCCGAGATGAGCCGCTTGAGCCTGGCCTTGGAGGGCACGGCGGAGTCCTCGGCGGCGGCTGTGGGCGTCTGGGGGCGCGGGCGGGTCGGGCTCGGGGGGCTGCCGCTGGCGTCCTGGCCGAGCAGCCCCCTGCGGCAGCACTCCTGGAACTCACGGATGATGACCTTGCTGCCGTTCACGTTGCCATGGAGCAGTGGCAGCAGCTGGGCCAGGACTGAGGGGGCGGGGGGACAAGGTGAGCTGGGCACGCACCCGCACCCGCACCCGCACCCACGGGGCCCCACCCGCCCCCAAGGCTCGGGATCCGGCCAGCTGTGAGGCACAGCAGCCAGGGAGGTCACCCAGCAGGCGCCTCTCTGCTGGTGGCTTGACCCACAGTGCCCCTTAGGGGGTGCTGCAGTCAGGGCTGTGCCCCCATTCAGGGTCAGTGAGGTTCACGTTGTGCCCATCTGTGAGGGCTTCTGGGGATCCCACACCCCAATGTCCCCCATGCCCACTCACTCTGCTGGTCTCTCTTCTCCCGTTTGGAGGCCTTCGGCGTCTGCTCCTCCTCTCCGGGCGCGGTGTCCAGGAAGCAGGCCGCGAACTGCTGCAGCACCTTGAGCTCGGCGCCCGCGCAGCCGTCGGCCTCGGCCGCCCACACGCAGCCGATGGTCACGGGCTGCAGCACGCGGAAACGCTTGCCCTTGGCCAGGAACTCGTCCCACTCCTTTGCCTTGAGCTTCTGCCGCACCTTGTGGTTCTCGGGGTCCGTGCACTCCTGCCGGGCAGGAAGCACACAGGGCGGGTTAGGGCTCTGCACCCCTACCCCGCGGCTGCCCTAGGCTGCACTCCATCTCCCAGCCCGGTCACTTTATTGCCCCAATAATGGTACCCAGCAGATGGGGGGAACTGCCCCAACATTACCCCCCAAGATGGGGCATCTCAGGCCCCACGCACCCTGTGGGGTGCCAGATGAGCCGTCACAGTCCCCAGCTGGGAGTCCCGCGGTGCAGCCCAAACAGTACCCTCCAAGCCTGCCCCTTCCCCCCTCACCTCTGTCACCCCCTCATCCTCAGACAGGTACCCATGGGGCACAAAGAACCCATCGTCCTCATCTTCATCCTCCCCCAGGTCATCGTCGTCATCCTCGAGGGAGAGAGAAAGGAGCTTACGGCAGGCAGAGACAAGGAGCACGCCCCCACGGGCTCCGGGCAGGCTGCGCCCGAGAACACCAGGGGTCCCGGGAGCGCAGGGCGAGCGGCTGGAGCCACTGCAGGCAAGTTTTGGGGCGGCCCGCCCGTGCCCCTGTGCTCACCCCCTCACTGTGGGACAGTGACTCCCCAGGCTCCTCCTCTTCCCACTCCTCGTCACTGTCCACCTCGTAGTCCAGCAGCGTCTGAGAGGAACAGGTGACTGTCAGAGGGAGAGGGCGGAGGGCAGAGAGAAGGGGATGGGGAGAGAGGGAGGCGGGAGGGAAGAGGCGGGCAAAGGCTCACCGAGTCTCGGGCCCAGGGGTCCCGCGGGCGGATGACACGCGTTCTCTTGTTCCACGTGCCCCAGTAGGCCGGCCGGTGGTTCTCACAGAACTGTAGGAGTTTCATGCGGCCGAACTTCCGCCTCTCGGGCACCCCGTCTGCATTGCTGCTGCCCACCATGACCACGTCCCTGGAGAGGGTGGCACAGACCCAAGCTCAGGCCGGCATGGGCTGCCCCAGCTGGCAGCAGGTGCGGCGCCGGGGCCAAGATGGAGGACAGCGTAAGATGCGCTGGGCAGGTGAACGTGGACATGGGGCCCCAGGGGACCCGCTCCCTCCTCTCTGGCCATGTCCTGGGCTGTCACCTGTTAAAAAGGCCCGTGCTGACCCTGGTGGGCCCGGAGCGGAGGGGCCGCCGGCCTTTGAGCTCGCGCAGGAAGGAGAGCTCGCCGTTCTGCTCGCGGAGCAGCTGGTCGAAGCGCTGGCTCAGGTCCTGGTTGAAGGTGGCACGGCAGCGGGGCGCCAGGGCCATGTGCTCCTTGATCTCAAAGGGGGCGAACTTCCCACAGGAGCCAGCCAGGGTCTGCAAGGGACAAGGGGGATGGCTCCAGTGGCCGCAGGCCAGGCACGGCTGCTCTGCGAGTCACAGCAGAGACACGAAGGCGGCAGGCAAGCCAAGGGGGAACCGAGCCCTCTGGGAAAGTGTGAGGTCAGCACAGGACGTGAACCAGGTCTGAGTCTCTCAGATGGGCCAAGGTGTGGCGGCACGGCAGCTACAGTGTCCACCTGCAGCGCTAGCCTCCCACAGGCGTGCCTGCGGTCTGCGACCCAGCGGGCTCCACTTGCCACCTAGCCACTGGAGGAGGATGCAGGAGGGCCGGGAAAGGTCGGGGATGCCGAGCTGTGGGCTGACCCCAGACCGGGCAGCGGGATCCGGTGACCCTGCCGCAGAGTCACAGACGAGCCCATGACACACACAGCCGCCTCCCGCCGCCCACTCACCTTGGGGGCCTGGGGCGTCTTTGGCTTCTGGAAGAATCTGGTAATCTCGGCCTTCTCAGCTTTGATGCGCTGCCAGGGGGGGAGGGCGGCGAGGGGGCAGAGGTGAAGGTGGTGCGTGAGCTGCCCCGACCCGGGGGGTCCCAGCAGGAAAGCAGCAGCCAGGCCCGGGCACCGAGAGGACGAGTCACGCCAGCAGACCGGGGAGGTCACAGAGCCACAGGCCCGGCCCTGGGCCAGCACCCACAGCCCAGTGGAGGCCCAGGTCCCCGTACCGGACCCCCAGGCCTCTCGGGCGGGCACTGCGAGGGCGCCTCTACCTTTTCTTCCTCTCGTAACCGTTTCTCCTCTTCCTTTTTCCTCTTCTCCTCCAGCTTGGCCCTGTGGGAAGCAAACCAACAGCTCAGCCACCCTTGGCCTTGGCACTGGTGCTCACTGGAGTGTCACTGTCAGCAAACAGGAAGCGTCTGTTTAGAGAGAAGAGCTGGGGGGAGAGAAAGAGGGAGAGAGAGCTGCCACCCACTGGGTCAGCCTCTACCAGACCAGGACACCCCGGGTGGCGGGGTCTGAGCTGGACAGGAAGTGGGGCAGCCGGGACTGGACGTGGCCCTCCTCTTAGAGATGTCAGGGTTGCAGACAGCAGCCTTCACCACTGTACCACCACACGGAATGTTTTATCCTACATGCAGTGAATGGGGCTTCTTTTCATTGTCGACTACAGGCTGCTACGTAGCTTCAACCAGTCCCAGACAAGCTCCCAGCGACCCCGGGACGCCCAGCTTTGGCTGGCTCTAGCCCTGGCCGTGGCGGGCACTGAGGAGCAAATCAGCAAACACGAGCTCTCTCTCTGCCTTGCTAATAAATATCGGGAAAAATGGATTTTTTTTTTTTACCCCCTTTGAACTTGTCTTGGGAGGAAAAAAAAAAAAAGCACAAAGAAATGTCGACCAGCAGGTGCAGACGACAAACCTGGGGCGAGGTAAGATCCCGTGGAAGGGCGGGAAGGCTGGGTGTCTGGGACAGCTGAGGCAGGGACAGGGCAACAGGGCGTCCCGGGGGACGGGGGCCAGCAGGGTGCCCCAGGGGCAGGGTGGGAGGCCAGCAGGGTGTCCCTGGGCAGGGTGGGAGGCCAGCAGGGTGCCCCAGGGGCAGGGGCAGGACAACAGGGCGTCCCTGGGTAGGGCAGGGGCAGGGTCAGGGTGGGAGGCCAGCAGGGTGTCCCTGGGCAGGGTGGGAAGCCAGCAGGGTGCCCGGGGGGAGGGCAGGGGCAGGGTGGGAGGCCAGCAGGGTGTCCCTGGGCAGGGCAGGGGCAGGGTGGGAGACCAGCAGGGTGCCCCAGGGGCAGGGTGGGAAGCCAGCAGGTTGTCCCTGGGCAGGGTGGGAGGCCAGCAGGGCACCCCGGGGGCAGGGCAGGGCCAGCAGGGTGCCCGGGGGGAGGGCAGGGGCAGGGTGGGAGGCCAGCAGGGTGCCCCTGGGCAGGGCAGGGCCAGCAGGGTGCCCGGGGGGAGGGCAGGGGCAGGGTGGGAGGCCAGCAGGGTGCCCCTGGGCAGGGCAGGGCCAGCAGGGTGCCCGGGGGGAGGGCAGGGGCAGGGTGGGAGGCCAGCAGGGTGCCCCTGGGCAGGGCAGGGCCAGCAGGACGTCCCTGGGCAGGGTGGGAGGCCAGCAGGGTGCCCCTGGGCAGGGCAGGGCAGGGCACCCCGGGGGGAGGGCAGGGCAGGGCAGGGCACCCCGGGGTCCTCACTCGAGCGCCTCCTGCCGCTCCTTGCGCCGCTCCTGCTTGAGCCGCTGCTTCTCCGCCTTCTCCTTCTCGTCCTTCTCCCGCTTCTCCCGCCGCTCCTTCTCCTTCAGCTCCTTCTCCTGCTCCTTGCGCCGCCTCGCCTCGGCCTTGGCCCGCCGCGCCTCCTCGCGCAGCCGCGCCCTCTCCTCCCGCAGCAGCTCCTTGTCCTGGCAGACAGTCGGGGCGTTGCTTGGTGGGCAGCCCGTGCCCGGGGCGCCCCACTCCCAAGCCTCACAGCCTGACGGGCGGCCCCGTTACATAAAGCCGTGTGTGTCTGTGACAGCGGGGAATCCCCAACTCGCACAACAGAAAAGAGAAATAGTAGCTTTTTTTTTTTTTTCCCGAAGACCATTTTTCTGAAGGGGTAGCATCTAGGAGCACTGGTTCGAGTCCTGGCTGCTCCACTTCCGATCTAGCTCCCTGCTGATGCTCCCGGGAGATGGCTCAAAGCTTGGCCACTTGCTCCTGTGCGGAAGCCCGGGAGGAGCTCCCAGCTTCTGCCTTCGGCTCAGCCCAGCTCTGGCCGAGGAGGCAACTGCGGAGGGAACCACCGGATGGAAGATCTCTCTGTCTTGCCATTAATTCCTTCTGCATTTCAAAAAATTTTTTTAATTAAGATTTATTTTTATTGGAAAGGCAGATTTACAGAGAGGAGAGACAGAGAGAAAGATCTTCCATCTGCTGGTTCACTTTCCAAGTGGCCACAACAGCTGGAATTGAGCCGATCCGAAGCCAGGAGCCTCTTCTGGGTCTCCCACGTGGGTTCAGGGTCCCAAGGCTTTGGGCCGTCCTCCACTGCTTTCCCAGGCCACAGGCAGGGAGCTGGATGGGAAGTGGGGCTGCCGGGATATGAACTGGCACCTATGTGGCATGTCGGCACTTGGAGGTGGAGGGTTAGCCAGCTGAGCCAATGTGCTGGCCCCTCAAATAAATGTTTAATACAAATCTCAAGTATCTCTCTCAGAATCTGAAGAACCAGGTATTATCAGAGATGAGCAGCCCCGGGGCTGTACCAGCCCAATGGCTGGCGGTGACGAGGCGGCAGTAAAAGAGCCAGCTCGTCCAGCAGCACCTTCTAACGGACCCTGTGCTGGACCCTGAGAGCGGCCAGGGAGGCCAGAGCCGAGTGGGGGACCCCGTATGCAGGGGGTGCGGGTGTCGGGGGGCTGTGCTTACTCGTTGTAGCCTCAGCCTGTTCTTCTCTCGCATGAGTTTCTTGCTGACCTGGAATGAGACACTTCTGGTTAACTGGGACCTGGTTCCATCCTCCCCGCCCCGACCCCGCAGGAAGGTGGACCAGGCAGCGGGAAACCCTGTCCAGCCTGGGTTCCTCCTTCACAACAATCCAGAAGCTCCCCCAAAGAGCCCCCCGAGGGTCACTTTTGAAATCATAACCTTGAATTAGTACGTATTCCTGCACGCAGGCAGGACGGGAGACCAGACAGAGAGGCTCTGCCTGCCCAAGAGGAACGCAGTGTTAGTTCTTTCTATATAGAGAAATTATTTTCAAAGTTATGCACAGACGCTGTGTCCTAATGGGTAAACCCATTGCCTGGGGCGCCGGCATCCCACATGGAATGCCAGTTCGAGTCCTTCCTGCTCCAGGCAGTGCCACGGTGGTGTGGGCAGTGCCCAGCTATGTCCCCCTCAACACCCAGGGCTTCCACAGCAACCTTGGAAGCGGCCGCGTCCCTCTGCTGCAGCACGCTATACCAGTGTCTCATAGAGGCATGAGTTCAAGTCCCGGCTGCTCCACTTGGGTTCCAGCTCCCTGGAGCCTGGGAAGGCAGCAGTGACGGCCCAAATGCTTGGGAGAGCCAGACGGAGCTCCTGGCTCCTGGCTGCAGCCTGGCGGCCATTTGGGGAGTGAACCAGCAGTTTTTAACTCTAACCCTTTCAAACAGGTAAAACAAACTTTTTAAAAACAAGAAAATAAATACTTGGTCCCAGCATGATAGTCTAGTAGCTAAAGTCTTCACCTTGAACACGCCAGGATTCTGTATGGGCGCCAGTTCTAATCCCAGCAGCCCCACTTCCCATCCAGCTCCCTGCCTGTGGCCTGGGAAAGCAGTGGAGGACGGCCCAAAGCCTTGGGCCCCTGCACCTGCGTGGGAGACCCGGAAGAGGCTCTGGGCTCCTGGCTGTGGTTATCTCACCTCTGTCTGTTGTTCCTCCGCTGCTTTCCCAGGCCCCAAGCAGACAGCAGGGTGGGAAGCGGGGTTGCCAGGATTAGAACCAGTGTCCTTTTGGGATGCCAGTGCTTGTAGGTGGAAGATTAAGTTGAGCCATGGCACCATCCCCTCTGGCTTACTCAGCACCTTCTGCTCAGTTCAACTTTGAGGACTCGCTCACGGGTGTTCCACGAGGCCATGCCATGCTGGCACTTCCTACCCACTGGGAGCCCAGTGGGAGCCACCTCAACTGTCAGACTTGGGGTCTGGACACCCGAGGCACCCAAGGAGTAGAGCGGAGGGGAGGGGGCCGGAGAGGGCCGCACCCAACGTGGCTGGGCGTGTCCCTGTGAGCGAGGCAAGGCCAAGGCAGCTCCCCACCCGAGTGTCCTCACTCAGCTATGTTACCACGCACGCTGGGAGGCACCAGGGGGCGGCCCTGGCACGTGGGCCTCCACCAGCCTCGTGGGAGAGCCGGATGGAGTTCTCCTAACTTTCTTGGTCACTGTGCCAGCCGATCCAGGGCAAGGCAGGAGCAGTCCAGTCCCGCACACCAGAGGCCGTGGGCACAGAATTGTTCCACCCACGGTGGGGGGCTCCCACAGCAAGAACACGCCCTGAGACTGCCATGTGAGACACGGGCTCACGGCGTAAGCTTCAGGCAAAGCACCACAGTGATGGTGGGGGAAGCATGGTGGGGTGAATGGGCTGTCCCCTCCTGGCACCCCGTTTCCACAGTAACCAAAACAGCCCCATGTGAGTTGTGGAAAACAGGACAAGTTCAGATCCCAAAGTGGCAAGTCCTGGGCCTTGGCATTGGGGTTCCGCGCCAGGCTGCCCTTTAGTGATACAGAAGTGGGCACCTCCTGGCAGCCTTTGCCCAGGGGCACGGCTGTGGTCCTGGCATCATCACTTATGAGCAGCAGTGGATGTCCGGGCTGCTCCATTTCCCATCAGGCTCCCTGCTGATGCGCCCAAGTGCTCGGATGACGCAGATGGAGACCCGGATGGAGCTCCCGGCTCTGGCCATTTGTGCAGTCACAAAGTTCTCTTTATAAGTCTGCCTTTCAAGTATTATCTCTTTGAAAGGCAGTGATTGAGACACCTTCCCTGAGCTGGTTCACTGCCCACAACAGCCAGGGCTGGACCAAAGGCAGTTGTCACGGGACCCCACGTACCTGGGCCACTGCCTGGCCCTGGGGGAGGTTGCACGGATGGGAATCCCAAGTGACTGTGGGATTCGCCCCATGCCATCCTCCTGTTGTCTGGCATTGCCAGCACCCCTACGGGGCCCGCAGAGACAGAAAAGCATAACCCTGAGGGCTCCGTGAGTAAGGAGTATGCAGCCAGGGCCGGCAGGAGGCAGGGACCCTGCCCGTCCACCCAGCCCTGGACTGTGGGCCCTGACACGGCCAGGCCCGTGTCCTGGGACCTAACTGGAATACGTACCTTGTCAGCAGGAGTGGAGCTGGGGGAGAGGCTAGTCCGGCTGCGACGTTTCTTGGGGGCCGGCTGTCCTTCGGGTGAGCTGCTGGGCGAGGAGGAACTGGGGGACGAGTGGCTGAGGCCAGAGTCTTCCTCGGGGCCTGACTCAGGAAGGTCGCTCTCACACTCCCGACTCGGGGCAGCTTTCGTAGCCAGGATGTCCTGCAGTACCACCATGGGCACCTTCCCTCGGAACAGGATGCCCTCGGCTTCGCGCCAACTGTCCCGGGCCTGTGGGGGGCACTCCGTGGGGCTGCCCGGTGCTGGTGGCAGCTCGGGGCAGCTCAGGGCCTCACCGTCCTGTGAAATGATGCCCACCTCCTCTGGGTCACAAGGAGCATCGGTGAAGGTCTCTTTCGGCAAAACCAGCTCGGCCTTGACCTTCGGAATGGCTTCGGGCAGCCCCTGTTCCTCTGTGACTCCAATGCCATTTTCTGCTGGCCTGGGAGAGGTGGCACCTGTAACGGTGGCTGCCTCAGGGCACGGTGGGCTGCGGCTGCTGGGGTCCTCGGGTGCCTCACAGGAGTCCTCGGTCAGATCTATGACGACAGTGCCGGGGGCCACCACGTTCTGGTCCCAGTTCCCTCGCCGCTGGCCCAGGGGCCCTTCCCCGTTCAGGAGCTTCGGGCCGAGGTCCACCCCAGGGGCCATGCCACACTCATTCTCCACGTTGTCCAGGGATATTTCCAGATGGTGGCCTTGTCTCCGCACTGTGCTCGCTGGGGTGCTTGGCGTGTCGGTTGCCTCCTCGCCCTTCTTGGGGGTCAGATTGAGGCGTTTGAATGGTAGGCGGGCTGCAACAGGAGGGGGCGTCCTCGTTAGCCACACTGTACGGTGACTGCTAGTCACCATGGTCCTCCCTGGCCAGCACTGAGCTACTTTATGTGCTGAGAAATCACAGACCTGGCTGAGGGCAGTGAGACTGGAGTTTGACACTGACTGGAGTCACTGGTTTGTCCTGTAATTTCCCAACAGGCTAATTTTGGGGGGGTTGGGGGATAGGGGGACTCAGGTCTGTGGTACCGCGCTGCAGATACCCCAGGGACACGACTCCATCACCCCACTCCTGGGTACCCCGAGAGGCGGCAGGTGGCAGCCCAAGCTCTCAGAGGCCCCACCATCCACCGGGGAGACCCACATGCAGGCTCCCGGCTTCCGCCTGGCCTGGCCTGTCGGCGGCCATCAGGCCATCCGAGGGGCAAATCGGTGGATGGAGGATCCAGGCTTGGAAAGGCACCTCTCAGTTAAACACATCCAGGAGTGAGGCTTGTCTGCCGGAAGGCTACAACCTCCCTGCTGACTGCGAGACAAGGAGTGAATTACCTTGTATCAACTTCTTAACTGGAATCGGCCCAGGTCGGCCTTTGCAATCCATGGCTGCAGAAACAGAAGCGGGTCAAAGACTCAACAGAGGCAGGCATGACCCCACCAGCAGCTCACGGCCCCCAGCCTCCCCAGGGGCCACTGCCCACCCCGCCCCGGTGCCCACATTTTTCTTTTGTATTTAAAAAGCAAAATGACACACGGCGGGGGGAGGAGTGAGAGTTCATCCACCTGCTGGTTCACTCCCCATGTGATATGCCCACCACAGTCAGGGCTGGCCCAGGTGCCAGGGGGACTTTTGAGCTTGGCACACAGGCAGGCAAGGGACCGACCACAGCCAATGAGCGATGGCCATTGTCACTCTTTATCCCCCCCACCCCAACAAAATAATCTCAAGCCACCCAACCGTAACCCAGGTCCTTGATTAAATAGCCTTACAACAGCTTGGTTCAAGTTTAGGAGCTCACATACCCATGAAGCTATCTGCCATGGGGGAAAAAAAAAAACAAACAAAAAAAACACCTTACTTTGGGAAAGCCAGTTGTGTCCAGTGAGCATTAAAAGTGGACAGAGGGCGCAGGTCTAACCTAAGTGGCTAAGTTCCCGTTAACAGCCAGCGGTGGCCGCAACGGATGGGGTCCCAGCCACCTGCATGGGGAACCTGCTGCCTTGGGGAGGGAAATAGATTTAGTAAATAATTTACAAAAAAAAATAATAATAATAATAAATAAAGGGAAACCTTTTCTATTTGGACAGCAGCGGCCACAGAGGCTGGTGGATATTTTTTTAAAGTGCCCAGACCTTTAGCCTAGGTGGTGGTGGGGGTTCTTGGCTACAGAAAAACATCACAGCCTCATGCCAGCCCCATGCCCGGGCATGGTAGCTCCCAGCAAGGGGGTGGCAGGGAGGACACGGTGTCCGTCTGGGAGGACCCTGGGGTTGTCACAGCTCCACACATGGGGTCGGGGGAGTGTGGGTGCTGGCGTCCAGCGGTCTGTAAGACACCCACCCCCCCAACCTACGAGGAGCAGCCGGACAGCCCCAAGTGAGGGCAGAGGGCTCCTGACTGCGACACAGAGATGGGCACCTGCTGGGCACACAGTAGGAGAGGAAGACCAACAAGGTAGGCGGCTCTTACTCCATTGCACCCTTTCCTCATTTTTTTGGGGGGTTGCCCTGTCCCTTGCAGGATTCAGGCACCAAAAAGATAACTATATATAAAGCACCTTGTGCCACCACCATGGAGGGGTGTGTGTGTGTGTGTGTGTGTGTGAGTGAGCGCGGGGAGGGGTAGGGGGGAAGCCGCAGCTCCCTGGCCATGGCCACCAGCCGGGGCCTCCTCTTCTCTGGCCTTGCCTTGACCGCCCAGGCAACTGTGGTGCTGCACCCCTGTACCCCCAAACCCCTGCGGCCTTTGACCTCAGTTTACCCACCTGCTCTAACCCTCCAAGCGGCTGTTGGAGGTGCGCGCAGGGACACCCCCTCACCCCCCTAAAGAAAAGCACCGGGTAACGTGCAAAAACGATCCTTTTTCCCTTTCCTCTATAGGAACTGCCCGCCTCCCCACCCCAGGGGTCACCTGGAAGGACCCCCCCACACCCCCAAAACACACCCCTTCCCGGTCCCCACACCCCCGGCGGCCCCCAGGGCTGCGATCGGGCGGTTCCAGGCCGGGACGGAGGAAGCTGCCCTCCCGGTCCAACCGCCGCGTCGGCGCGCGCCCTCCCAGCCCGCGGCCGCGCGCGCGGGCCCCGCGCACCTCGGGCGGCTCCGGCGGCTCGGCACTCGGGCTGCTGCAGCATGGCGCGGGCGGCCGGCTCCCCGTGCTGCGGCGGCGGCGCTGCTCGGCCTCCCGCGCTCCCGGCCCGGCTGCTCCTGCTGCTGCTGCTGCTGCTGCTGCCGCCGCGGCCGCCGCTGCTCGTATTTGGCGGGAACCGCGGCCACCTCCGCCGCCCGCACGCCGATTGGACCAGCCCGCGCCACGTGACCCGCCCGCCTCGCGAGAGCTGCCGGGCTCCCCGGCGGCTTCCCTGCGTTGCTCCTGCACGGCGGCTTCAACGGGCGGAAGCGCGGGAGGCGGGGCTCGCGCGGAGCGGCGCTTCCTATTGGTGGCGGCCCAGCGGCGCGCGCTTCCGATTGGCCACGAGGGCTGTCTGTCCCACCCCCCACCCCCTCCGCGGGAGAGTCGGGCTAGACGCGTGGGAAGGGAGGGCGGGCCCGGCGCTGACGTCACTGGGCGGGTGACGTCAGAGACCGCTGACAACTTGGCGGAGGGCTGTGAATTGAGAGGTTTAGGCTGTTCAGCGGGATGGGATCTGAACGCAGCGAGGCAGTGACGAAAGCCGAGGTTCCGCCACGACCTTGTGTCGAATGGGCTTCTCTGGCAAGATCAGGGTTTTTGTTTTGTCCAAAATCTGGGCTCCACAAACCCAAGATAAACTTTTCTGAGCCCAGCTGCTCAGCTGTGGCTGGCTGCAGCGCTTACGGTGCCACTGGACAAAAAAAGCAAAAACGAAAAAACACTCTTTCCATCCTCTGAACCCGTGAATAGATCCATCACAGACACCTGACTGCACAGGGAATGGAAAGAGTAAATATCATTTGCTTGAACGAAGGGTGACTGCCATGTGAGTGGGAGGCCTGACACACAGTGAAGACCTGCAGGAACACATAGAGGTTTCCTGGGGGCCAGCGCAGTGGCAACAGGCTAACCCTCCACCTACAAGCGGCAGCATCTCATATGGACGCCGGTTCGAGTCCCAGCAGCTCCACTTCCCATCCAGCTCCCTGCCTGTGGCCTGGGAAAGCAGTGGAGGACGGCCTAAAGCCTTGGGACCCTGCACCTGCATGGGAAACAAAGAAGAGGCTCCTGGTTCCTGGCTTCAGATGCTTCGGATCAGCTCAGCTCAGCTCTGGTTGTTGTGGTCACTTGGGGAGTGAACCAGCAAATGCAAGATCTTTCTGTCTCTCTATCTGACCTTCCAATAAAAATGCAAAATTTTTTAAAGGGTGGTGCCCAAGCCCCACCCTGCTGGGGATGGTCCGCCTGCCCTGCTGCTGCCAGCACCTCCCACGATGGAGTTATTTGTCTTGAGTCAGAACACTGATGAATACAGGAGACATGTGGCAGGGCAGCTCCTGGGTCTGAGCCATGAGGGTGTTGGTTCCGCCCTGCTGGACATGCTGTCATTAGCCGGGGTGCGGGCAGGGCGTCCCCCGACACTTGTCATTTAGGATCTGCTGCAGGACGCCGCACACCTGTGGCTTGTTCATTCCTGTCCACCTACTGACACCTGGGGGAGCTTGCAGCCATCACCCACTCCTTCCTGTCGCACGCACCTGGATGTTCCCTGCGCTGGTACCCCCTCCATCCTCTTCTGCCTCCTTGAGGGTGTCATCCAATGTGCTTGAGGCCCCAAGGGTGACAAAAGGGGGAGATTGGAGAAGAATGTTCGAGAGAGAGCTGTGACATCAGCCAAACTTCCATCCTGAATGAGTCAGGGCAGGGGGGCAGAGGGCAGAGGTCAGGTGCGGGGTCAAACTCTGCATCCAAGTTGGAGCAGTAGGTGGGTTTTGTGCAGGGGGGACGCTGCTACGCTCTGAGGTCGACACGAACCCCCCAGGATCAGGGATGGGACGCTGCTAGGCTCTGGGTGGGCTCAAGTCCCCCAGGATCATGGAGGGGACGCTGCTAGGCTCTGGGTGGGCTCAAGTCCCCCAGGATCATGGAGGGGACGCTGCTAGGCTCTGGGTGGGCTCAGGCCCCCCAGGATCAGTTGGGGTGCTTTTCCCTAAGAGCGGCAGGAGCGCCTCCGCTCCTCCAGGCGTCGCTGCAGCCGCACCAAGGGCGCCTCTCTAGGCTCGCTTTCGCGTCCACCACGCTGGTAGGGGCACGAGGCCTCCGGCGCGTGCGCAGTGCTGCCGGCACGTGGCGCGCGTGCGCAGAGGCGTGGGGGGCAGGGAAGCGAGGCGCGCGCACCGGAAGTGGGTGGTTGCCATGTAATATCCTGGCGGTGCGGGCGCGCGCGGCCTCGGCGGCGTCCGGAAGCCTCGGCCGAGCTGAGTGTGTGTTTGTGTGTGTCTGTGCGTGTGTCTGTGCGGGGCAGAGCTCCGGGCTGGGCAGCCCGGGCGGCGGCAAGGCAACATGTCGGTGGCCGGCCTGAAGAAACAGTTCTACAAGGCGAGCCAGGTGAGCGCAGGGGCGAGGCGCACCCTGGGGTGGGGGTGTCGGGGTGCAGGGCCGAGCCTTGCGGGGTGCCGGGGTGCTGGAGGGAAGCCGAGGTGGGACGGTGTGTCGGGGGGCTGGGGAGGCGGGACTCGACCCCAGGGACACAGAGAGGGGGTTCGCCCTTGCCCCCTTCCTCCAAGAGAGATGTGGGGTGCAGGGCCGAGCTTTGGGGGTTTCGGGGTGCTGGGTACAGGGTGCTGGAGGGAAGCCGAGGTGGGACGGTGTGTCGGGGGGCTGGGGAGGCGGGACTCGACCCCAGGGACACAGAGAGGGGGTTCGCCCTTGCCCCCTTCCTCCAAGAGAGATGTGGGGTGCAGGGCCGAGCTTTGGGGGTTTCGGGGTGCTGGGTACAGGGTGCTGGAGGGAAGCCGAGGTGGGACGGTGTGTCGGGAGAACAGGGGAGGCGGGACTCGACCCCAGGGACTGAAAAAGGGGGTCCGCCCTTGTTGCCTTCCTCCAAGCGAGATGTGGGATGCAGGGCCGGGCTTGGGGGTTTCTGGGTGTTGGGTACAGGTTGCTGGAGGAAAGCTGCAGTGGGACGGTGTGTTTGGGGGCTGGAGAACGGGACTCGACCCCAGGGACACAAAGAGGGGGTCCTCCTTGCCCTCTTCCTCCGATGTGGGGTACAGAGTGGGGTGGGTGGGGAAGAAAGTTCTCCCAAAGCAATGAACCCTTCCGGGACTCGCCCCAGGTTAGCCCAGGGGCGGATAAACACTGGCGTGTCTGGAGGGCAGTTCCTTTAAAACAGCCAGCTTCCGAGGGGGTCGGACTGGCAGGCTGGGGGGCAATGACCCGTCTCCCCTCCGTCATCCATCAGGACCCCCACTGGCTGCTGTGTGTGTGTGTGTGTGTGTGTGTGTGTGTGTGTGTGTCCACACTCCCCCAGCCCTTGTGCACTTGGCCTTTTAAACACGCACACCCACAGCTGTGTTTGTCTGGGGTTGGGGCGCAAGGGGCGTGGGTGTGCAACAGCGACATCCCCAACCGTACCCCTAAACCCATCAAGCCACAACCACAGACGTCCCCAGACAGGGCCCGGAATGTCCCCTCGGGCTGCAGGGGCTTTTGTATTTGAACTTGGGGTTTCTTGGCAGCCGTGCTGACGGGGTGCAGGGTGGGCTTGCTACCCACTGTGGGGCATGGGGGGTCTCCCAGCCGACACTGGTTCTGCACGGTAGGAACGGAGACTGAGGGCAGGCCCCTTGAGGTCAGATAGAAACGGGGGATTTGGGAAGTAAGCTCTTGGGGAGTGGGGGGCGGTGGTGAGTTGGGGATTCACCCCGTCCCGCCCCACGCAGCACACGTGCAGTTCCTGGTCCCATTTCCAATGCAAGAAGTTCCCGGATTTTTGGCCAATGTAGAACCCTGGGTGTGGGTTAGGCTGGGCCAAGCAGTGAGCGATGCTGTTAGGAATGGGTCGAGTCCAGCTGCCAGGGGGGTGTCCCCAGGCACTGGAGAGGCCGGGGAGGAAAAAAAAAATAGAACCATAACCCTCGTGATGTGTAATTGAGCATGTGACCTTGGGGGTCTGTCCCGGCCACCATGGGGGGCTGACCCTCCATCCGGGGGATTTTAGAATGGTTGCCTGGTCAGGGTGGGGTGCAGTGTCTTGGCCAGTCCCCCTCTAAGGGGCTGGTTTGTGTTATCTGCAAAAGCGGGGTCTTGGGGTGTCAGGGGAGTTGGGTCCCTTTGTTCTCACGCATAGAGGGGTCTTGGGGAGCACCCCCCTGGCTCCACTGCAGCTGCCAGGGTCCCTGCCGGTGGGTGACCCGAGAGGTTTGGGGCAGCCCCTGCCTGCGGGTGGCCACAGTCAGGCCATCCTGGAGGAGGCAGGTGGCCCCCCTGCACCTGGCCTGGAAACCTAGAACGTGTATTCCAGGGTCGGATCTGTTTACACTTGGACAAGGCACGGCCCGCCCACCCGCTCTGGGAGGAGCTGGGTTGTCCACTGCTCCCCTGGCTGTGTCAGCATCCGGCTTCCGTGACACCCCGTCCCCGTGATACGGAAACCTCCCCAGGCCAGGTGTGACTTAAGGATCTCTGGTGATCAGGGGTGTCATTTCAACCAGTGGTCTCGAGGCGTGTCACCTGTCTACCCTGCGGGTAAATTGCACTCCTATTCTTACACTAAAGGTCCTCACTCACACACCTTCCCCATCCCGGGCACGCCAGCAGCGAGTGGGGGCGAGTGGGGGCTGGGGCCTTCTTAGCATTTTGCAAGGGGAAGTGCTGACTCTTACCCGTCCACCCCAGAAGTCAGCAGCGCCGCAGAGGGAGACCCTGCCTCGAAGGTGCATATGCCGGAAGGAGCAGCAGCAAGTGCCCACTGGCCATGCCCCCAGCAGCTGGTGTGGCGTCTCAGTCCTGGGTCACTGATGGCTGAGGCCCGGGCACCCCGCCGTGTCCTTAGGCACGTCCAAAGGGTCTTTTTGTTTCTGTAAAGTTTTTTATTTATTTTTATTACAAAGTCAGATATAGAGAGAGGAGGAGAGAGAGGAAGATCTTCCGTCCGATGATTCACTCCCCAAGTGGCCGCACCAGCCAGAGCTGAGCCGATCCGAAGCCAGGAGCTTCTTCCTGGTCTCCCACAAGGGTGCAGGGTCCCACGGCTTCGGGCCGTCCTCCACTGCTTTCCCAGGCCACGGGCAGGGAGCTGGATGGGAAGTGGGGCCACCAGGATATGAACTGGTGCCTGTATGGGATCCCGATGTGTGCAAGGCAAGGACTCTAGCCACTAGGCTATCACCCCAGGCCCAAAGTTTTTTTTTTTAAGTTTACATAAAAGGTGGGGACATTTCAGACAAGCTGGGCCTGTACTTGGGGACAGAAGGGGGCAGGGAGGGGGAAGAGGAGAAATGCTTCTGCTTTCATCTTGCAGAGGAGAGTCTTTCTAAAAAATATATATATGTATATATATATATTTTTTTTCTATGTTTAAGATTTTTATTTTTCTGACCTGAAGGTCAGAATTAGGGAGAGACGGGGGCCTTCCGCCTGTTGCCTCATCCCCCATGTGGCCGAACCGGATGGAGCCGGGAGCCAGGAGCCTCCTCTGGGCCTCCCGAGCAGGTGCAGGAATACAAGGCTTTGGGCATTCTTCCACTAACTAAAGTAGCCACAAGCAGAGAGCTGGATCGGAAGTGGAGGCATCGGGGACTTGAACAGGTGCTCGTGTGAGATGCTGGTGCCATAGGTGGAGGGTTCGCATGGTACGCCCCCACAGCAGCACCAGAAGACAGACTTAAAGGCAGGTGCAAGCTTAGGTGGGGCTGCTGCAGCCTTGGCCCCACTTCTGCACCCCGACGGCCGGGCCCTTGGTGGGGTGTCACCACTGGGCGTGCTGCTGAACACTGAGCCGCTGACAGGCTGTCCCCCACAAGGAACCCTGCTGCCCCGAATGTCTGCTGTCTTGATCACAGGCTTGTGACAACGTCCTTCGTAAAGGGAGAGCCCCCTCTGGAGCAGGGCGAGCTTGGGGTGGGTACCAGTCAGCTACTGGGGCCCTGGGCGCAGCCTGGCCAACTCCACGCCCGTGCAACGCCTGGTGACACCTCTTGGGCCTCCCTGCTGAGCCTGGACCTGAGAGAGGGTTCTGAGGGGCCGTGGGGCTTGGGAGCTGACTCTGCACAGCGGGAGGCTTGGGTCGGGGGGCACTGGAAGGATGGAGCTGATGGCCAGCAGTCGCCGACTCGGACTCGTCCTCAGGCCCCGGCGTATTTCTGGGTGACTTGGAAGGTTTGTCAAGGTGAAGTGCCCCTGCGGGCGGCAGGCCCTGGCCCTGTGCTGTGAGTCTGGGTGACGTGTCTGCATTGGGCTCATGATCCTTGTCGTGCATGGGCTGGCCCGCTCCCCCACCCCCTGCCTGGAAGGGGGAGATGGGGTTCACTGAAGCCAAGAGGAAAACACCCACGGCCTCCTCGGGTTGGATGGCCCCCGGGTGTGTTTGGGAAGCCAGCAGGCACTGACTTCCTGTGGAGGGGGTGATGGGGAGCCAGGCTGGCCGGGAGGCCTTGTGGGGCGGGGGAGCCTCTGATCCTGGCCCAGCACCCCAGGGTGACTCAGAGCTCAGGCGCGTGGCCCGGAGCAGGCTCAGCCGGTGGGGCAGCGGCCACAGGCTTCCCTTGGAAGCACCCAGCTCCTTCCCTGCAGGGAGCTGGGCAAGGGTGCCCTGGTGGAAAGCGTGAAGAGTGGCCCTGGCCGGCCCCTCCTGTAAGGCCTGAGACCCCTAGGCGTCTGTGTGGATCACGCACACACACAGCGTCCCAGGCCTGACGGCGTGCGACAGGCAGCTCGGCCCAGCCGGGTCATTCACTGGGTCTGACTTCCAGGTTAGCGAACCCTTAGTGCCCATCGACCCAGGGCCTGGCCTGTGGTCCTCCGGCCCTGCCCCGCAGCCTTGCCCCGCAGCCCAGAGCTGAAAGTTCGCCTGCCACCCGCCTCTCCCCGAAGGCCTGCTCAGGCTGCTTATCTGGGTGTGTTGGCCCAGCCCTGATACTTAGTTACACCCCTGGGCCACTTAATAACAGCCTGAGAGTCAGGGGGCTCTCGGCCACCCACTGAGACCACCTGTTAGGGGAGCTGGGGCAGGGAGCAAGCAGGGGTGCTCTAGGGCTGGCCCCCCACCCCCACCCCTGCACCTCGCGGCCATGTGTGTGTCTTTGGGGCCAGTCCAGCCAAGGGCCCCCCGGACAGATTTGGCCTCACCTCTGCCTGTTGCCAGCACTCTGAGAGGATCTGGGGCGCTGGGGAGGGAGGAGGCAGGGAAAGCCGTCCAGGGACCCAGGGGTTCCAGCAGCAGGAGGGGAGGCTCCCGCCCCTGGGCTGGGGTGTGGGGAGGCCGGTGGGGAGGGGTCCTGCTGCAGCAGCCCTCCTCCCTTCCCCTCCTCTCCCCTCCCCTCCCTTGGTCCTCCCTGGTTCTCCCTTCCCCGGTAGCCCCCCCCCGGGCACTTCCCCTGAGTCAG